AGCTCCTGGACCTTGTGGTTAGTGGCCAACAATTAGCCCACTGTGCCACTATGGCTCCTTTGGCCCATAATGTTGTTGTTGTTAGGTGCCATCGAGTTGGTACTGACTCATAGTGACCCTATGCACAACAAAACGAAACACTGACCGGTCCTGGGTCAACCTCACAATTGTTGCCACGCTTGAGTCCATTGTTTCTTCCACTTTGCCAATCCATCTCACTGGGGGTCTTCCTCTTTTTCTCTGCCCCTGTATCTTACCAAACATGACATCCTTCTCCAGTACTGGTCCCTCCTGACAATATGTCTTAAGTCTGAAAGACAAAATTTGGTTATTCTGGCCACCTCATCCAACACAGATCTATTTGTTCTTTTGGCAGTCCATGGAACTTTCAGTATTGTTCTCCAGCACCATAACTCAAAAGCATCAATTCTTTTATCTTCCTTATTCACTGTTTAGCTTTTGCATGCATATGGGTCAGGTGCACCTTAGTCCTCAAGATGATATTTTTACTCTTCAACACTGTAAAAAGGTCTTGTGCAGCAAATTTGCCCAATGCAATACATCATTTGATTTCTTGACTGCTGCTTCCATGAGTGTTGAAAGTTGATCCAAGAAGAATGAAGTCCTTGACAACTTCAATCTTTTCTCCATTGATAAGAATGTTGTTTATTGGTCCACTGGTGAGGATTTTTGTTTTCTTTACATTGAGATGCAATCCATTCTGAAGGCTGTGGTCTTTGATCTTCATCAGTAAATATTTTTTAAGTCTTCGTCACTTTCAGCAAGCAAGGTTGCTGAAATCTGCATATCGCAGGTTGTTAATGAGTCTTCCTCCAATCCTGCTGCCATGTTTTTCTTCATGTAACCCAGCTTCTCAGATTATTTGCTCAGCAAACAGGGTGAATAAGTATGGTGAAAGAATACAACCCTGTCACATACCTTTCTTAATTTTAAATCCTTCAGTGCTCCCATGTTCTGTTCGAACAACTGCCTCTTGGTCCATATACAGATTCCTCATGAGTACAATTAAGTGTTCAGGAATACTCATGTTTTGTAATGTTGTCCATAGCTTGTCATGATCCACACAATCAAAAAACCTTTGTGTAGTCAATAAATCACAGGTAAACATCTTTCTGGTATTTTCTGCTTTCAGTCAAGATCCATCTGACATCAGCAATGATATCCCTCGTTCCATGTCCTCTTCTGAATCTGGCTTGAACCTCTGGAAGTTCTCTTTCAATATATGCTTGCAGCCATTTCTGTATTACCTTTAGTAAAACTTCACTTGCATGGGATATCAAAGATTTTGTCTGATGATTTCTGCATTCCATTGGGTTACCTCTCTTTGGAATGGGCAATCAGTCAGCCAGATAGTTGTCTTCCAAATTTCTTGGCATAGATGAGTGAGTGCCTCCAGTGTTGCCTCACTTTCTTGAAAGATTTCAATTTTCATTCCATCAATTCCTGGTGCCTTGTTCTTTGCCAATTTCTTCAATGCACCATGGACTTTTTCCTTCTGTATCATTGGCTCTTGATCATATGCTACCTCTTGAAATGGTTGAACATCAACCATTTCCTTTTGGTATAGTGACTCTGAGTATTCCTTCCATCTTCTTTTGATGCTTTCTGCATCATTCAATAATTTGCCCAGCAAATCCTTCAGTAACAAAAGTCGAGGCTTGAATTTTTTCTTCAGTTTTCCCAGCTTGAGAAATGCTTAGCATGTTATCCTTTTTGGTTTTCTGACTCCAGATCTTTACACATTTTGTTGTAATATTTGACTTTGTCTTCTTGAGCTGACCTTTGAAATTTTCTGTTCAGCTCTTGTACATCCTGATTTCTCCTCCCATTTTTTTCCTATATGATATTCTTGCTGTCAGCCCACAACTCTCCTGGTCTTCGGTCTTTAGTATTTAATGTATCAAATCTGTTTTTCAGATGATCTCTAAATTCAGGTGGGATATATTCAAGGTCATATTTTGGCTCTTGTGGACTTGTTTTCATTTTCTTCAGCTTCAGTTTGAATTTGCATATGAGCAGTTGATGGTCTGTTCCACAAGCTGCCCCCCACCCCCGGCCTTGTTTTGACTGATGATATGGAGGTTTTCCATCGCCTCTTCCCACATATTTAGTCAATTTGATTTCTGTGTATTCTATCTGGTGAGATCCATGTGTATAATCATCTCTTAAGCTGTCTTAAGAAGGTATTTGAATTGAACAAATCATTGATTTTGCAGAATTCTATCATGTGATCTCCAGCATTATTTCTATAAAAGGTGATAATTATATCATTGAAACACTAATGCCTCAGAGTAAAATATTGTGAGAAAATAATTTACAATATTTTGCATAAATCAGTGGGAGAGTACAGAAAACTCCTGCATAATAAACATCAGGAACATAGGTTAAATATATAATGATGATAATGTTTTTAGCCTTCTGAAGTTTGGAAAATTTGGGTAAACCATATAATTATTGAACACAAATTATTGTTGAGAGAAATCAATTAGAAGAAGTCTTAGAATTATAATTACAATTGTGCCTTTTTCTGTGATGCACTTTTAAAACTCTGCATATGCCAAACCCTTGGAAATTTCTGTTACCAGATATTGAGTTACTTTTCAGACTCAGTATCTACTGGAATGTTTGCATTTCTGCAATTGTAGTTATAGTTCTGCTTCATTATAAGAGTCGACAGTTAATATTTGAAAAATAAATTCAACTTAAATTAATTTGAAACTTTAAAATTCATTTCTGAGGGCTGTGCTTCTCTTAATAGATTTTTTTCATCGAAGACTGATCTTTGGTTCTTAAATTTTCATGAGAATGTGTTGTGTAATGGGAGAATTGCTCTACTCATTTTCTGCATCTGATTTGTTGAAGATGACTTTCAGATGCTCCTTGTTAAAATATGTTTTTGTTGTTCAAACTTGGTACTTTCAGAAGTTTGAACACCAACTGCAAAGTATGAATAAGTGAGGGGAATAGTAGTGTAACATTACTAATGCAATGGCTGACTATATTACTTGACCATATGAAAGGTTTATTGACACACTTGAGATCTAAGATCATTTGAGTCTTATCTTTTACATATTTATTTAAAGGGGATCCAACTATATTTATATATGTAAATGGACAATTCTCACCTAAATGTAAAATGTTCAACTTACTAAATAGCAAATGGACCCAAAGAGTGACAAGAGAAACTGTATAATTGATGATAATATTATTCACTCCTACATATCCATGTATTTCTCATTGTTTTTCAAGAAAAGTTTATAGATTTGGGTATGTGTCATCAGGGTTACCATCAAATTACCAATAACGTTTACATTTTAAAATGCTTGATCCACACACTCTGAGTGTATATACTATATGTTATTTAAATATTTGAATCTTCAGTTTCATATATACTATAGAAAACTTTGCAGTATGTCTTGAAGTGTTCATACAGTTGAACAATATTTGCTTGGGTATGTTTTAGAACTAAGTCTTGAGTCAGTAGTTCTCTTTATGTTTGCATAAAGATGCCAATGACAAATTGTCAAGAACCCTGGATATAATGGGCAGTTTAAGATGCTCTAATGCTATTCTGTAAGCTAAGTATCCTACACACCTGCTAAATTTTAAACCATATGTAGATTAAAACAATTTTTATGGACAATTTTAGCTTGCAAAAGGAATTAAAATGGAAAGACTCCTGCTGGAAACAATTGTTAAGTGCCGAGGTGCCTAAGTCAGTTCCAACTCATAGTGACTTTTTATGTGGTTTCTGGGACCGTAAATCTTTGTGGGAGCAGAAAAGCTTCATCTTTCTTCCAGTGGGTTTGATCCAATGACCTTAGGTTTAGTAGTCCAGTGCTTATCCTACAGAGCCATAGTTATTGATAAACTTATTAACAAGGGAAGAGTGACATTAACAAAATACTGAGGGTGATCCTGCTGTTCCTTGGGGACCAAGGAAAAGTTAGTAACATAAATTACTCTTCTTGGAATACAGAAGAACCAGAAATAATGGTAAGAACTCATACTTGACTACTCAAATTCAAATCGCTCTCCATTGTTAAAATACTGGGGAAGAAACAATATAATCCAAAACAATAATAATATAACATGAGGAAACCAAATCACTGTGGAATAGTTTGTTAATCATACTCACTTAAAAGTAAATGCTTAATCACACTCACTTAATTAAAAGTAAACTAAGATGAGAATTCCCTGTTTCTTACTATACTTCTGTTTTATAAGGATGGTTAATCACTTGCTATCTATACACTCTTTTTGTGAAGGATGCTGATAAAGATAAGATAGAAAACAGTGAAACAGGGGGAAAATAAAGCTATGAACTTAAATTTGAAAAAAATAACTATAGTTAATACTTCAAAAAATTTTGCACTACATCTGCTACCACCAATACTATATTTTATTTGTATGTTCTACACCTAATTTCATTTGGCATTCAATTCTACTAAGGTAGGCAGAAAAGATACTATAACCATGTTACGAAAATGGAAACTAAAAGCACGAAGATGTTAGTCTATATCTTGAGGAATGTTACCTCGACTCACTTTGGATGGATAAAGTTCAAGTTCAAAGAAATGTCAACCATAGTACACATTTAAAATGCAATCAATCCTGGTACGATGGAGAGAGTAATACTATAAGTATCAGTCAGTATATAGTTGAATGATGCTCCTAACCAGTTCTCTACTTGAGGCTGATTTAGTAAGCACTGCTGCAGTTCTGCTGATGAGGCGCGGAGTGCCGCTGTTGGCTAGTGCTGAGCGAAATATCTGCTCCTCCCTCCCCGCGGCGGAATCTGGAGCTGACAAAGGCTCTGGAGAACAGTGAGCTCTCTCAAGCACTCTACCGCCTGGAGATTTCTGTCTGAAAACTCATCCACCAAGACATCGCAAGTATTCACTCCTGCTCAGAGAACTCTTGTGATTTCTTAGCGATCGCTGCTTCTTAAAATCAGAAAGGCAAGAAGCGCAGGGAGCATGATGGGAACCCGATGGCATTCCCAGAGAGGCCGAACTAGGCGGAGGCAAGCGCCTTTTCTCTTCCTGCTGCCATTGTTCTGCCCAGCGCTCTCGGAGCAGATCTTCTATGAGATTCCAGAGGAGCTAGCCAGGGGTTCTTTGGTGGGAAACCTTGCCAAAGATCTGGGGCTAGTCGTGAGGGATTTGCCTACTCGAAACCTGCGGTTTAGTACCGAGAAGAATTTCTTTACCGTGAGCGCCGAAAACGGGGACTTACTTGTGAGTGACCGTATAGACCGAGAGCAAATATGCGGAAAGAGGCCCACGTGTGTTCTGGAATTTGAAATGATCGCTGAAAAGCCTTTAAACTTTTTTCACATAACTGTGGAGATCCAGGATGTCAACGATAACCCGCCGACTTTTAGCAGAAATATCACTGAACTCGAAATCAGTGAAATGGCGCTAACTGGAGCCACATTTGCTCTGGAATCCGCACAAGATTTGGACGTAGGTGTCAATTCGCTGCAGCAGTACTACCTCAGTCCGGACCCGCACTTTTCCTTGATGCAGAAGGAGAACCCAGACGCCAGTAGATATCCAGTGCTCCTAGTGAAGGCGCCCCTGGACAGGGAAGAGCAGTGCTGCCATCTCCTGACCCTCACCGCTATGGACGGGGGCGAGCCAGCCAGGAGCAGTACAACTCAAATTAGGGTAGTTGTTGCAGATGCAAATGATAACCCCCCAGTGTTCACCCAGGACATATATAGGGTCCTTGTCCCGGAGAACTTGCCTGCGGGCTCCTCCTTGCTGAGAGTGATGGCCACCGACCCGGATGAAGGCATCAATGCTGAGATCACCTATACGCTCATCAACATTGGTAAGGCAATGAGGCAACTGTTCAAGCTGGACAGTAAGACAGGGGAACTCACCACTGGTGGAGAACTAGACTTTGAAGAGAGAGAGAGTTACACACTTGGAGTGGAAGCAAAAGATGGAGGACATCACACTTCTCATTGTAAAGTACAAATCGATATTCTGGATGAAAATGACAATGCCCCTGAAATAACTCTTGCTTCTGAACCCAAACATATACAAGAAGATGCTGAACTAGGTTCCGTTGTTGCCCTGATCAAAGCAAGTGATCTAGATTCAGGAGTTAATGGGGAAATCCAGTGTCAACTAAAAGGAAATTTCCCATTTAAAATAGTTCAGGATACAAAACATACTTACAAGCTGGTGACAGATGCAACCCTGGACCGAGAGCAGACCAGTGAGTATAATGTCACCATCACCGCCACTGACAAGGGCAAGCCACCCCTCTCCTCCAGCACAAGGATCACCCTGCACATCGCTGATGTCAACGACAACGCTCCAGTCTTTCATGAGCCCTCCTACGTGGTCCATGTGGCTGAAAACAGCCCACCTGGAACCTCTATTGTTCAAGTCAACGCTTTTGATCCGGATCTGGGACAAAATGGCCGTGTCTCCTACTCCATAGTAGCCAGCGACCTGGAACCACGAGCGCTGTCATCCTATGTGTCTGTGAGCGCTCAGAGTGGAGTGGTGTTCGCGCAGCGAGTCTTCGACCATGAGCAGCTGCGCGCCTTTGAGCTGACGCTGCAAGCGCGTGACCAGGGCTCGCCTGCGCTCAGCGCCAACGTGAGCCTGCGTGTGCTGGTGGGCGACCGCAACGACAATGCTCCCAGGGTGCTGTACCCCGCGCTGGGCCCGGAGGGTTCGGCCCTCTTCGACATGGTACCTCGCGTGGCGCAGCCAGGCTACCTGGTCACCAAGGTGGTGGCTGTGGACGCAGACTCAGGACACAACGCCTGGCTGTCCTACCACGTGCTGCAGGCTAGTGAGCCTGGGCTCTTCAGTCTGGGATTTCGTACGGGCGAGGTGCGCACAACTAGGGCTTTAGGTGACAAGGATGCCACCCGCCAGCGCCTGCTGGTCTCTGTGCGCGACGGAGGACAACCACCCCTCTCAGCCACAGCGACGTTGCACCTAGTCTTCGCAGACAGCCTGCAACAAGCGCTGCCAGACCTCAGCGATCACCCTGCGCCCCTAAATCCTCAGGCCGAGCTACAGTTTTACCTAGTCTTGGCTTTGACCTTGATCTCAGTACTATTCCTGCTCGCTGTGACTCTAGCCATTGCCCTGCATCTGCGACGTTCCTCTAGTCCCACTACCTGGGGCTGTGTTCAACCTGGTCTCAGCTCCAACTCTGGACCTGGGATTCCCCCCAACTACAGTGAAGGAACTTTGCCTTATTCCTATAATCTATGTGCTGCCTCACATTCCTCAGAGTTCAAATTTCTCAATATAAAGCCAGAAATCACTCCATCACAAGATCTTCTATGTGATGAAGGCTCTTGGGCTGAAAGTACCAACAATGACAATCCCCAAATGACTCCTAAAACAGTCAATTTGCAACAGGTGAGTTTCTTCAAAACCCTTCCCTTTTATAAACAAAATTAAGTTTTAATTCATTATGCAGGAGAAAAAAGGTTAAGTATGAGTATGCTCTGATCTCATTGTATTTCACTGATTTTTTTTCTAAGTGTTGAATGTGGTAGGAAATATATAGTAGGCTTATCTGCGTTGTAATTGTTCTTTCATAGAAAGTGGAGGGGAGTGGTGTTGGGGAAAGGGGGATATCAGACCAAATCAAAGATAATCTGAAACATTTTAATGCATTAATATGACATACTCTCATTGTGAGTCATGATTACTATCTATAACTTAATGCAAAACTAGACAATTAAGTAGTTTACTTAGTTTCAACTGATAGTTTCATTTGATTTTGTCACTCCCAAAATATATTTTTTAAGGTAGCCTGTGTATTTTCACTTTTTTCCATGTTTTAAAAATAATGCACAGATGTTACCTGAGTCAGGCCTGTGCTTAATCTATGTAATAGAAAAACCTAAACTGCATTTAAAAATGGTGATGCTTACTGTATCGAACCCTGTGGATTATATGCTGTATGTAGTGGTTTATATTTGATATGACAATAGGACAAATGTAAATGATGGTGGACTCTGATAATACAAGAGTAACAGAAAATTGCAATATTTTTTCTGCTCCAAGGCCTTCAGAAATATTGTTACAAAATAGGTAGCAAGTTCCAAGGAACATTTAAAATAATTCAGAATGAGCTCTTTTATTCTTCAGAATGTTTCTTTATTAGACAGAGAAACATTCTGAATGCCATCTCTGCAGAGTTAGCAGAGATAAAATCCTCTTGACAGTTTCACAAATAGTGCAGTATTATTTTTCAAAATGAAAATAACAAGTGTTGGTGAGGAGGTGAAGGAATTGGAAAACTTGTACATTGCTAGTGGAATGTAAAATGGTGTAGCCACTGTATGAAAAAGTTTGATGGTTTCTCCAAAAGTTAAACAGAATTGAACAGGACATTCAATTTGTTTGAAGTGATGAAAAACAAGTTTGAAATAGTTGTAATGGTTGCACAACATGGCTAATATAATTTGTGGCACTGGATTGTACACCCAAAATGATTAAAACAGTAAATGCATATATTTTACCACAAGAAAATTGTTTTAAAAAAAACAAAAAGTGATGCAGTCTTAAATCAGGACTCTAAGCGTCGCTATTCACTAACCCTGGCGAGAAAAGCAATGGGAACTGGAGATCTAACCTGCAAACACTAAGCCGATCAGACACAAAAGCTCTCCCACCGCTGAAATTTTCACTGAGAACGCTTCGCTTGGGGTCTCTGCTTGTTTACGGACCTTGACCCCCCTCATTCTGAGAAGCACAAAGTGCTTCATAATCCCAAGGAAGTCTTAAAAGGAGTCAGTAATGGCGGCTCAGCAGAGGCGCCAGCACCGCAGCGCGCTACTACTGCTCTTCACTCTCCTGGAGACACTGCTGGGGGCCCGGGCTGGGCAGATCCGCTATTCCATTCCTGAAGAACTGGAGAAAGGTTCCTTCGTAGGGAACATCGCTAAGAACCTAGGATTGGAGCCCTGGGAGTTGGCAGAGCGCGGAGTCCGTATTGTCTCCAGAGGTAAGACGCAGCTTTTCGCTCTGAACTCGCAAAGCGGTAGCTTAATCACGGCGGGCAGAATAGACCGGGAGGAGCTCTGCGCTCAAACTGCGCGGTGTCTGGTGACTTTTAACATCCTTGTTGAAGATAAAATGAAATTTTATCCGGTGGAAGTGGAAATAATAGATATTAATGACAATACACCCCAATTCTTATCGGAAGAATTGGAAGTGAAAATTCCGGAAAATGCACCGCCATCCTCTCGTTTTTCATTAATTGAAGTCTATGACCTGGATGTGGGAATGAACTCACTTCAGGACTTCAAGCTTAGCTCAAATAGTCACTTCTCAGTGGACGTGCAAAGCAAAACCAATGGACCCAAGTACCCAGAGCTGGTGCTGGAGCGCACTCTGGACCGGGAGGAAGAGGCTATTCACCATCTAGTCCTTACTGCCATGGATGGTGGTGACCCAGTTCGCTCAGGTATGATGCGAATTCAGGTAACTGTTCTAGATGCAAATGACAATGCTCCAGCATTTACAAAGCCCATATACCGGGTGAGTGTTACTGAAAACTTGCCAGTAGGGACACCAGTGTTGTCCGTGAATGCCACTGACCAGGATGAAGGAGTACATGCAGAATTAACTTATTCTTTCGTTAAGATACCTAAAAAAATCTCACAGATTTTCTACTTGAATCCTTTGACTGGACAGATATCAACTTCTGGAGATCTAGACTATGAGGACTCGAGCTCCTATGAGTTGGATGTTGAAGCTCAGGATAGGCCAGGTCTTCGAGACAGAGCAAAAGTCTTCATAACTATCTTGGATGTAAACGATAATGTACCAGAAGTGGTAGTTACCTCTGGAAACAAAACAATTGCTGAAAATGCACCTCCAGGAACAGTAATTGCTCTTTTTCAAGTGCATGATCGAGATTCGGGACTGAATGGTCTAGTGACATGTTCCATCTCCAGAAGGATGCCATTTGAATTAGAAAAATCAGTAGACAATTATTATCGATTAGTGACAAACACAGTCCTAGATCGAGAACAAGTGTCATTGTACAATATCACTGTGACAGCCACAGACAAAGGAACACCACCTCTATCTACAGACACATTCATCTCCCTAACTGTGGCAGACACCAATGACAACCCACCGGCCTTCTCCCACATGTCCTACTCAGTCTACGTTCCTGAGAACAATCCTAGAGGAGCCTCCATCTTCTCAGTGACTGCCCATGATCCGGACAGTGATGAGAATGCCCAAATCACTTACTCCCTAGCTGAGGACACCATACAGGGGGCACCTGTATCCTCCTATGTCTCCATTAACTCTGACACTGGATCCATATATGCACTGAGAGCCTTTGACTATGAGCAGTTTCAAGACCTGCAAGTGAGAGTGACTGCACGTGACAGTGGTAAGCCACCACTGAGCAGCAATGTATCACTGAGCCTGTTCATTCTAGATCAGAATGACAACATACCTGAAATCCTGTATCCTGCCCTCCCCACTGATGGTTCAACAGGTGTGGAGTTGGCACCCCGCTCTGCAGAACCTGGTTACCTGGTGACCAAGGTAGTGGCTGTGGACCATGACTCAGGACAGAACGCCTGGCTATCCTACCGCCTGCTCAAGGCTAGTGAGCCAGGACTCTTCACAGTGGGAGTGCACACCGGTGAGGTGCGAACAGCACGCGCCATGCTGGATAGAGACTCACTCAAGCAGAACCTTGTGGTGGCAGTCCAGGACCATGGCCAGCCCCCTCTCTCAGCCACCATCACGCTCACAGTGGCTGTTGCTGACAGCATCCCGGATGTGCTGGCCGACCTGAGCAGTCTAGAGTCTCCTACCAACCTAGATGACTCTGGCCTCACGCTGTACCTGGTAGTGGCTGTGGCTGCTGTCTCTTGCATCTTTCTTGCCTTTGTTATCGTGCTGCTGGCACTTCGACTGAGGCGCTGGCACTCGAAGCATCTTATCCAGGATTCATGTGGTGGGTTGCCAAGCCTGCAAGCCTCACATTCTGTGGATGTGGAAGGAGTACGGACCTTCCTACAAACATATTCCCACCAGGTCTCCCTCACCGCAGACTCCGGAAAGAGCCACATTATCTTCCCTCAACCCAACTATGCTGATACACTCATTAGTGCAGAGAGTTGTGGGAAAAGTGAGCCTCTTTTGATCCAGGAAGATTCAGGTTTCTGTAAAGAGGAAGACCCCTTTGTTCAGGTGAGATTTTTTTCTTTTATTGGTTTTATTTGAACAGGAAATTCTAAGATTCTCTTTGATCAATGCTTAATTTTCTTCATTTTGCAGAAAAGTGTATAATTAATAGGATTATCATGTAATTCTGAAAAAGGTTTTCCTTTTTACCAATAGAACTCTCCTAAATTTTCATTTTCTTGATATCATGACAAAATACTTAACTCATAGATTTTCTTTGCTTTTTTTCCTGTTGGCAAAATATTTGAGTCTTCGATTGTTAGGTTTTTTACTATGATGTAATATTTGTGAAATTATTTCCTTTCCTAATGTAGAAAAAATATTAACTGCAAACTCTGTGAAAGAGTACCAAGTACAGTTTTACTAAAATTAGGGAAATCTAACAGATACTTCCCTCTGCTTAACTACTTAGAGGAAAAAATTAATTAAAGATAAGAGTAATTGTGGTCTGCAGCAGAGGGGACCTGGGCTTTGGTGTCCGTCACCAATCATGAGTAATATTCTTGGCACTATCCTGGTGTGGTGCAGTAGGATCAGTTTTGGACTTTGATCCAGAAGGTCAGGAGTTCAAACCCACCGTCTGCTCCTCGGAAATCCAGACAGGGTTGCTGTGAGTCAGAAATGACTCAATGGCACTTAGCAACATCGGTTATTCATCTTGGGCTAGTCAAAATCTCTGTAATCCTCCAATTAAAATTAAAATGTAAAAGATTTGCCTTATCTATCACACATAAAAACTTGGAAAATAAAATAAATTTTATAAGAGCTTTCTCAAACTATAAAACAGCATAGTGACATAACCATTATTGGCTGACATCATTATTATGATTTTCAGATTATTAATAAATTAATGTAAGCATCTGATGCAATTTGCCGACTACAATGTCTTCTACATACTGTGTGCTTTTAAAAATGAAATTCACTTAAAAATATGTTCAATAGTGTCTAAAATTACAGTACTGCCTGGTAAGTGGAAGAATGAGCAAATAATAGTGTTCAGATAAGAATTTAGATCATTCAGCATATTAACTCAGATACAATGATAACTTTTCCTGTCATATGCTTTTTAGCTGTGCCTCTGTCACATAACAATTCTTTATTAAAATATTTAAGGAAAAGGGGTTGTTATTTAGAACTTTTATTTGACTATGAATTATCCTGATAGATTCAAACATTTCATTCAAACAAAATATCCCCTTTATTTTGGAGCAATGCCATCAGAAAGCAGAAATATACTGCTTCATTTTGTCCTGGATCCTCTTGCAAAGCTAAGCTAAATATTTTCTGTATTACTTCTGGTTCTTTCTCCTGGTGCCACTAGTTACTGCCTGAAGGCTTAAAAATAATTCAGAAAGCATGGTTATTTCTGATCAGGTCTTCATTTGCAACTATATGGGAGGAAATTAATTTGATTTACACCACCAGCAACTGAGTTTTACTTCGTCAACACCAGTGGGAATATGGTGTGTCACTGTAAGATAAGCACTGGACTGCTGACTGCAAGGCCAGAAGTTCAAACCCACCAGCCACTCTCAGAAACTTTATATGGGGTTGCTATGAGTTGGAATTGACTAGAAGGCACACAACAACAATAACCAAGATTTCAAGGATTTCCTGTTTACTGGCAGGAGCTACAGTCAACCCATGGAGACAGCAGTCAAGAAATCAAATGGTGTATGAATATTGCACTAGGGAAATCTACTGCAAAAACCTTTTTAAATGTTAAAAAAAAAAAAAAAAGTCACTTGAAGGACTAAGGTGTACCTGACCTAAGCTATGGTGTTTTCAATTGCTTCATATGCATCTGAAAGTTAGACAATAAATATGGAAGACCTAAGAAAAATTGATGCCTTTGAATTATAGTATTAACAAGGAATATTGAATGTAGCATGGACTGCCAAAAAGAATGATTAAATCTATCTTGGAAAAAGTATAGTTAGAATGCTCCTTAGAAATGAAGATATCGAGGCTTTATTCCTACATGTGAAAATGGGACAATGAATAAGGAAGACCATAGAAGAATGGATGCATTTGAGTTCTGGTGTTGGAGGATATTATTAAAAGTACCATGGACTCCCAGGAAGAGCAAACAAATCTTTGTTGGAAGAAGTGCAGTCAGAATGCTCCTTAGAAGCCAGGATGGCCAGACTTCATCTCTCATACTTAAGATATATTATCAGGAAGGATCAGTCCCTGGAGAAGAACATCATGATTGGAGGACCAGAGAAAAAGAGAAAGACTCCCCAATGAGATGGATTGGCGTAGTGGCAGCAAAAATGGGCTCAAGCTTAGCAAGGATTGTGAGATGATCACAAGACTGGGCAGTGTTTATTTCTATTGTGCATAAGGAAGCTATGAGCCGGTACCAACTCCATGGTACCTAACAACAATAACAACAACATCCCAAGTACTCTTGACATATTATCTGGAAGGACCATTCCCTGGAAAAAGATACCATGCTTGGCAGAGAATCTGTGAAAAAGAACAAGACCGTCAAGGACTGACACAGTGACTGCCACATGGGCTCAAACAAAGCAACAATTTTAAGGATGGTACAGGACCAGGTAGAATCTGAACTGATTCTGTGAATCAGAACTGACTCAACAGTACCTAACAACAAGGATCCTCTGAGAATCAATTCAATAACACACAGAAACACAGGGATCCTCTCAGAACAGTCTTGCATACATGCTCAAACGAAGTCTAGAGATCCTCCCTTTAAAAATTATTCTGGAATAGGGTAGGATGAAGATATGAACTATATAATGAAATAAGTAATCAAGCCAATACCAGTTTCTTGCTAATCCATAGCCAGTGGGTCCTCTTGCAAACATCTGCCTTCTAGTGGTTACGAATTGGGCTGTGAACCACAAGGCCAGCAATTTGAAACTACCAGCTGTTCTGCGGGAGAAAGACGAGGCTTTCTGCTCCCGTAAAGATTTACAGCCTTGGAAACCCTGTACAGGGTCGCTGTGAGTTGGAACTGACTCCACAGCACATAACCACCACCACCACCATACAAAATAGGTTGCTTCTGTAGCTGATGTTGCTATTTGGCTTGTAACCAAGTAGCAACCATCTCTTAATGGCATTTCTTAAGCACAAAATATCACTCACAACCAATAATGAGTCCTCTTTCTACCCTCTCAAGACTGAGTGAGAATATGTGGATTCTTACCTTGGATATTCCTTCTAATTTTTAATCTTTATAAAGTGAAGGTGTTAGACTAAAAAAATCACCTCTAAGGTTCTGTCCAATTAATTCTAGCCAAAATTTATATTTTAAAGAAAATTTTGGCTCTGAGTCTTTCATGGTGGTGTCCAACACATTGTATGTGTCCAATAGTATGACTAAGCTAATTTAAATATATTATACCCTAGAATAAATAATTTTTGTTGTCATGTACATAATTTTGTGAATTTTGTCTTTTTGCCTGCAATGTCTGGTTTTCCTACATAGGCAACAAAATGTGAAGCATTGCCCAAAAGGGTCATTTCAAATTGGCACTGCAAAATAGAGATTTAGAACAAAATTATCTGGATTATCAAATACCTAGGTAATTATCAGAAGTCCTGGTGTGACTTGTGGGATAAACTACTGGACCACAAGATCGGTGGTTCAAACTCACCAGCAGTTCTTTGGAAACCATATACAGGGTAGCTATGACTTGGAACCGAACCGACTCGATGGCACATAACAACAACAACATGACTTGGAACCAATTCAATGGCACTTCACAACAACAAAATGGGATTGTCATTATCAAACATCTAGCCATTAATACTATGTATTAATTCACTGTTTCTTAAAATGGATTTTTTAAAGTATATGAGAGAGATCTGATATGAAGAAATTTTACTAACTAGGGGAAATTTGAGGGAAGAAAATGTTCTGAAAAAATCCGTTTCTTTTGCTTAAAATGGTGTAGTTACTCGTTAAGAACTCTAAGCGCCGCTGTTCACCAACCAGGGGAGAAAAGTTGGGTGCGAAATATCTGCCAGAACCACCGAGCATTTACAGCACAAAGAAAAGACAGAAACAAATCAGCTCTCTAGATGCAACAACAGAAGGTCTCCATCCTACCGGGTTCTGGGCTGGCACTCGGATTCACCGGCATCCAGAAGCACATTTAAAGGTAGCTCCCGCAAGATTCGCAGGACAACAATGGCGGCTCGGCAGAGGGGCGGAGACTACAGAGGATTCTTTCTGCTCTGCATTCTCCTGGGGACTTTGTGGGAAGTCTGGACAGCACATATTCGCTATTCCGTGCCCGAGGAGACAGACAAAGGATCTTTTGTGGGGAACATCGCCCAAGACCTGGCGCTGGAGCCCCGGGAGTTGGCGGAGCGCGGAGTTCGCATAGTCTCCAGAGATCGGACGCAGCTTTTCACTTTGAACCCGCGAAGCGGCAGCCTGATCACCGCGGACAGGATAGACCGAGAGGAACTCTGTGCTCAAAGCGCGCGATGTCTGGTGAATTTTAACATCCTAATGGAAGATAAAATGAATCTTTATCCTATTGAAGTAGAAATAATGGATATTAATGACAACGCTCCCAGATTCTTGACGGAAGAAATGAATGTAAAAATAATGGAGAATACAGCTCCTGGAGTGCGCTTCCCGTTAAACGAAGCTAGAGATCCAGATGTAGGTATAAACTCCCTCCAGAGCTACCAGCTCAGCTCCAATCACCACTTCTCCCTTGTTGTGCAAACTGGAGAAGATGGAACCAAGTACCCGGAACTGGTGCTGGAGCGGGTGCTGGACCGGGAGGAAGAGGCGATTCACCATCTCCTCCTCACGGCCTCTGACGGAGGTGATCCACTTAGATCTGGCACCGCGCGCATCCAAGTGACAGTGGTGGATGTGAATGATCACGCGCCAGTCTTCTCTCTGCCCCAGTACAGAGTGACTGTACCCGAGAATGTCCCGGTGGGCACAACACTGCTCACAGTAAATGCTATAGACCTAGATGACGGAATCAATGGGGAAGTGACATATTCTTTTCGGAAAATAACTCAAAAAATTCTACAAATATTCCAGCTGAACTCCCTTACAGGAGAATTATCAACTTTACAAGGGCTAGATTATGAAGAATCTGGCTTGTATGAAATGGAAGTTCAGGCTCAGGATGGTCCTGGTAGTCTGACAAGGACAAAAGTGCTGATAACAATTTTAGATGTGAATGACAACGCTCCGGAAGTGACTGTAACGTCTGTAAGCAGTTCAGTCCCTGAAGACACACCTCCTGGGACAGTAATTGCTCTTTTTTATGTTCAAGACAGAGATTCCGGGAAGAATGGTGAGGTGGTCTGCACCATTCCAGACGATCTGCCTTTTAAATTAGAAAGATCAATAGACAATTATTATAGATTGACGACAGCGGAAAATCTGGACCGGGAAAGACTCTCTGTATATAACATAACAATAAAAGCCATAGACTGTGGAAACCCTCCCCTGTTTACAGAAACTCACATCTGTATACATGTGGCAGACACCAATGACAACCCGCCTGCCTTCGCTCACACGTCCTACTCAGTCTTCATCCCTGAGAACAACCCCAAAGGAGCCTCCATCTTCTCAGTGACTGCCCATGACCCGGATAGTGACCACAACGCCCAGGTTATTTACTCCTTGGTGGAAGACACCCTACAGGGGGCGCCCATGTCTTCCTATGTCTCTGTCAACTCTGACAATGGAGTCCTGTATGCTCTGCGATCCTTCGACTATGAGCAGTTTCAAAACTTGCAATTTATAGTGACTGCACGTGATAGTGGTGACCCACCACTCAGCAACAACGTGTCGATAAACCTGTTCGTTCTGGACAAGAATGACAATGTGCCCGAGATCCTGTACCCCACGCTCCCTACCGACGGTTCCACAGGCATGGAGTTAGCTCCCCGCTCTGCAGAGCCCGGCTACCTGGTGACCAAGGTAGTGGCGGTGGATCGCGACTCAGGACAGAATGCCTGGCTATCCTACCGCCTACTCAAGGCCAGCGAGCCGGGACTTTTCGTGGTGGGGGTACACACTGGCGAAGTGAGAACGGCGCGAGCCCTGCAAGACAGAGACGCTATCAAGCAGAGCTTGGTAGTAGCTGTCCAGGACCACGGCCAGCCCATTCTTTCTTCTACTGTCACGCTCACCGTGGCCGTGGCCGACAGCATCCCTGACGTCCTAGCCGATCTGAGTGAATTAACATTTCCCACTGACTCAGATGACTCTGGCCTCACGCTGTACCTGGTCGTGGCTGTAGCCGCGGTCTCCTGTTTGTTCCTCACCTTTGTCATGGTGCTGCTGGCACTCAGGCTGAGGCGCTGGCATATGAAACGTCTGTTCCAGGCTTCAGGTAGTGGGCTGGTGGATGCGTCCGCTTCGCACTTTGTGGGTGTGGACGGCGTGCGAGCTTTCCTGCAGACCTATTCCCACGAGGTCTCACTCACTGCCGACTCTCGAACAAGTCACCTAATCTTCCCCCAGCCCAACTATGCAGATACACTTATCAGCCAGGAGAGCTGTGAGAAAAATGATCCTTTGTTAACATCCATAGATTTTCATGACTGTAAGGTTGAAGCACCAAATACGCAGGTAAGTTCAGTCTTTATTTTTATTTCCACAAGGAACTGTATTTTTGTGCAATTTTCTTACTGTTTTGTGAAACAAGTGTATTTTAAATGTTGGGAAATTTTTAAAGTAGATAAATCGAGTTTGGTGGTGGTGGTGGTTATGTGCCGTGGAGTCGGTTCCGACTTATAGCGAACCTCCCTGTACAGGATTTCCGAGGCTGTAAATCTTTACGGGAGCAGAAAGCCTCATCTTTCTCCCGCGGAAAACCTGGTAGTTTCGAACTGCTGACCCTGAGGTTCGCAGCCCGATACCGCTACGCTACCAGAGTGGTTTCTTTAATGGCAGTACTTTAAAATAGATCACTGATTGGCTTAGGTTTTTGGCGTCATTTGTTTTTCAAAAACGTACTGACAAATTTGTAAATACTTAATGCACTAATCCATTTGTCATTTCCTCTTAGTTTCCTTAGCCCATGTATTTCACAAATGAGAACTCATAATGAATTGTTGAACCTCTCTCATTGCACTTGTTAAGTGCCATCAAGTTGTTTCCTCTGTTAGCCTAGTGGTTACGAATCGGGCTGCGAACCTTAAGGTCAGCAGTTCGAAACTACCAGCTTTTCCACAGGAGAAAGATGAGGCTTTCTGCTCCCGTAAAGATTTACAGCCTTGGAAACCCTGTACAGGGTCACAACAACAACAGAGTGACTCTATACAGGGTTTTCAAGGAGCTCCTAGTAGGTTTGAAGTGTCTGTTGACCCTACATTGCGAGGTTAGAACTTCAGCCTTGCTCTCAGGATTCTCTTTAGAATTCAGAACTTAAGCTTTTTCTGTGTGTTGCTTCTACTTCTATCTACCTCACTTTGATGACTCTGAAAAACTTTTCTGCTTCCTGACCTACTTAAAGGACATACATCTGTTAAAGTTGGAGCCCTGAAGGGAAGTTTAGATTGATTTCTAAAAGATGAAATGCATGTGCCAAACCTTACTAAGGTCTAATGTCTTAATAAAGGCCATTAGCCAAAAGCAATGAAACATAATATCAAATGTCATTTCAAGTATTGTAAATGTCATCTGTGAAATAGAATTGCAAGCTTTACCATGGAATTCCAGTGTGAAGTGCATCTGTGGGCTTTCCAAAAGGGAAATTGCGAACACTGACTTTATGAAACAATGATTATCATTTATTCAAATCCTAGAGCAGTAGTCTCTGGTAGCGTAGTGGTTAGGAATTGGGCTGCGAACCTTAAGGTCAGCGGTTCGAAACTACCAGCCGCTCTGTGGGAGAAAGATGAGGCTTTCTACTCCCATAAAGATTTACACCCTCGGAAACCCTGTACAGGGTCGCTATGGGTCGTAACCGACTCGATGGCACTTAACAACAACAACAACAGAGCAGTAGTCAATTTACTTATTAAGCCTGCTGAAAATTTTCATTATAAATAACTCATTCTGGAATGACCTATTTCACTGTTCCTTTGAATAATGTTTCAGTAAAACTCAACACATCAGTATCTTATCATAGAGGTAGAAGACTGTTGGTTTCTGGGACCTTTCAAATGTTCATTTTAAAGACTTTGGGAAGGCACAGTGTTTTATTTGATATTTTTCATATAAAGGACTGTGCAATGAGGGTGGGAATACATTCAAGCATTTTCCATATTTAGAAATACAACCATTTGTGGGAAAAGTTATGTTACTCACACTTTGTGAGAAAAGATCCTCTGGCAGAAATATGGTCACCAGATAATCAGAACTAGAAAACCCTGAAGCCAAAATTTATAAAATTTTAAAAATTATTTTAAACAAAAAAGAGAAACCATTACTAAAGTTAGTGAGTTATTGCAAGAAAACTTTCCATGGACTCATTTTCTCCCATTCTGAGGTCATTGTGGGATGTAATATAAGTGCAGAAGAACTGGTGTCTCAGTGCAACAGACCACACAAATAATCGATTTTGTATTGCATTGTTAAATAGTATTCCCCTATAACTTTGAAAATCAATTTATTGTTATTGTAATCAGGTGAGTGACTACCCCATTTGGACCACATCATTTCCTTAACTTTTAACACAGTAGAAATGGAGAAACAGATTACTACAAAGAAATAATTCAAAAATAATTGTGCCTTTTTTACATAAGAAAATTCAGCATTACTAGTACTTTGGGGGAGGGAGGTGACGGGGAAGGAAGTGAATCAGCATAGAGGTACCCAGAAAAGATGAGAAACACTTATGAAGAAGGAAATATTAGAATGTATTAACACAACGCTAAAAAATATACAAAAAAATCACTGAACTCAGATATCGTTTGCAGCAAAAATTGGCTGTACGTATGTATTTTTATATCCTCGTGTGTACTTGAGATGAAGAAATGATGGTGTCAAGGTGCAGAGGTTTGTGTATTAAATCTGTGTGATTTCCCTAAAAACCATGAAGTTGAGACAGAGACGTTAATAAGAGTCTGATTTAAACGTTGTTAAATATTCAGTTCATGATTGTAGCCCATTAAACGGAAGCAGCAGAGGCTGCCATTTCCTAGTGAGGACTCTGGGTGCCGCTGTTGGCCAAAGTGGAGCGCTTGGTGCGCGCAATCTTCTTGCGCAGCCGCAGAGCACTTTCCAGGGCAACCCCATTTCAGACTCGCTAGCGCGAGCATTTCAACCACTTCCTCCTCTAAAAAAAGACGAATTCCGTATTCTCACTACTGGAACTGAAGGCTGATCAGAGCTACAGACTTCTGCAATACAGAGATTATTCTGCAATACAACCGGGAGTCTCCGGGTGGTGAGCAAACTGAGGGGAACCAGAGGGATGGGCAGCGGCACTAGGGAGTGGGGCCGGGCTGAAAGGCGGCGAGCGTTCTTTCCCTTCCTGCTATCTTTGTTCGGCCTGGTGCTCTCAGAGCAGATCCGCTACAGGATTCCCGAGGAAATGCCCAAGGGTTCGGTGGTGGGCAACCTGGCCAAGGACCTAGGGCTCAGTGTGCATGAGTTACCGACTCGAAAACTGCGAGTCAGTTCGGAGAAGCCTCACTTCGCAGTGAGCGCAGAGAGTGGAGAGTTACTTGTGAGCAGCAGGCTAGACAGGGAGGAGATATGTGGGAAGAAGCCAGCCTGTGCTCTGGAATTTGAGGCTGTTGCTGAAAATCCGTTGAACTTTTACCACGTGAATGTGGATATTGAAGATATCAATGACCACACGCCGAAATTCACACAAAATGCTTTTGAACTTCAAATAAGCGAGTCTACAAAGCCTGGCGCAAGATTTATTTTAGGATCTGCCCATGATGCAGATATTGGTACTAACAGTCTACAGAATTATCACCTCAGCCCCAATGATTATTTCTCTCTAGTGAATAAAGAGAAATTAGATGGAAGTAAATACCCTGAGCTGGTACTGAAGAAGCCTTTAGATCGGGAAGAACAGAAATCGTACTACCTGACTTTGACTGCATTAGACGGTGGGAATCCACCCCTAAGCAGTACTGCACAGATAGAGGTCCTTGTAACTGACGCCAATGATAACCCTCCAGTTTTCAGCCAAGACATATATAGGGTAAGCCTGAAGGAAAACGTGTCCCCGGGCACTACCGTACTTCGAGTGATGGCCACTGATCAGGATGAGGGTATCAACGCAGAGATCACCTTCGCTTTCAGCGAAGCCGACCAGATTACCCAGTTTGGTGTGGACTCACGTACTGGCGTAATTACTGTCCTAAGTACGTTAGATTTTGAAGAAGTCAAAGATCATTCCATGGTTTTGGAAGCAAGGGATGGTGGGGGAATGATTGCGCAATGTACAGTGGAGATAGAAGTCCTAGATGAAAACGACAACATCCCGGAAGTGATATTCCAATCTCTACCCGACTTAATTATGGAGGACACCGAGCTGGGAACATATATTGCTTTGCTCAAAGTTCGTGACAAGGATTCTGGAGACAATGGCGAAGTTACCTGTAAATTAGAAGGCGATGTTCCATTTAAAATACTCCCTTCTTCAAGAAACACCTACAAATTAGTGACAGATGGAATTTTAGACCGAGAGCACACTCCAGAGTACAACATCACTATAACAGCCACAGATAGGGGCAAGCCACAACTTTTCTCTAGCATAGGCGTCACTTTTCGAATCGGAGATGTCAACGACAACACTCCAGTGTTCAACCAGGCCTCTTACGCTGTCCACGTGTCTGAAAACAACCCTCCAGGTTCTTCTATCACTCAAGTTAGCGCTTCTGATCCCGACTTGGGGTCAAATGGCCTAGTGTCTTATGCCATCGTGGCCAGTGACCTGGAACCGCGCACTCTGTCGTCCTACGTTTCTGTGAACACACAGAGTGGGGTGGTGTTCGCTCAGCGCGCTTTTGACCACGAGAAACTGCGTGCCTTCGAGCTGACTCTACAGGCACGTGACCAAGGCTCGCCCTCGCTCAGCGCCAACGTAAGCCTGCGTGTGCTGGTGGGTGACCGTAATGACAATGCACCTAGGGTGCTATACCCAACACTGGGACCTGATGGCTCAGCGCTTTTTGATACAGTGCCGCGCGCTGCACAGCCGGGTTACCTGGTAACCAAGGTGGTGGCAGTGGATGCAGACTCGGGACACAATGCCTGGTTGTCCTACCATGTGCTACAGGCCACTGAGCCTGGACTTTTTAGCCTAGGGTTTCGAACTGGCGAGGTGCGCACCTCGCGTGCTTTGGGCGACAAGGACGCGGCCCGCCAGCGCCTGTTGGTCGCTGTACGCGATGGAGGACAGCCACCCCTCTCGGCCACAGCCACGCTGCACATGATCTTCGCAGACAGTATCCAGGAGGCACTGCCAGAGCTCAGTGATCACCCAACTCTTTCTGACCAGCAGACCGAACTGCAGTTCTATCTAGTGGTAGCTTTGGCTTTGATCTCCGTGCTCTTCCTACTGGTGGTGATTCTGGCCACCGCTCTACGTCTGCGACGCTCCTCCAGCCCCACCACCTGGGACTGCTTTCAGCCTGGTCTTTGTTCAAAATCTGGACCTGGGGTTCTCCCCAACCAAAAGGAGGAAACTTTGCCCTATTCCTACAATCTGTGTGTTGCACAGACTGGAACGACCGAATTTAATTTCCTGAAATGTAGTGAGCAATTGAATTCAGGACAAGACATACTCTGTAATGATTCACCTGGAGCTTTATTTCCACTATGTAATCCCAGTGAGTCGACTTCCCATCCGGTGAGTTTTCTTAAAACATAATCTACTTTTCATTGTTCATATTCACAGGAAGATACGCCATTTTTGATTCAGTGCCTTAAAAAGTTCTATTCTTAAATGTAGGGGTGAAGTAGGGAAATTTTACATAATGTGAGTTTCCCACAAATTTGTCTTCTTCTGTCTTAATATCTAATGAATACCTTTTAAGTCTTGGACATACCATAAATGTAATAGTAGGCAGTCATTTAAGTAAACCTTTTTGGCAAAATCATCTAAATTAGATCTCTTTCTTCACTGATTTAACTGTTATGGTTCCTATACTATTCTGGCAATCTAACTTATAACCCTAGCATAAGATATCATAAGATAAGATATCTTATGCTAGGGTTTTAAATTCGTGTAATTGCTGTTGTAAAGTGTAAAGATTAACCACTCTGTATAGGTTTTCCCAGAAGCACAGACCTTGCACTTAGCTATCAGGTGTTTATCCTACAGTGCCACACCAGGACTACTTTGTAATAGTAGCTAAGGTATGAATGTGTGGTCATCTTACTGAGCAATTGTGCTCATCAAAAGATGGAAAACGTGTGTGTGTGTGTGTGTGTGTGTGTGTGTGTGTGTGTGTGTTTCCAATATAGGTTTTTATTTTTTTTCGATTAATTCCTATTGAAGCTCATTCATAGAAAAGATAATGACTGCTTTTGTCTCTGTTACCCTCCTGATATATATATACTCCTGATATGTAATTTTTAACTCGTATTAATTACAGTCCTAAAAATGTGACTAGAGGTCCTCAGAACATTCTACTATCTCTAGAAGAGAAATAGAGTCATAAATTCTTCAAAAATTGTAGAAAAGCCTGCCATTTTTATGTTTCTACAAAGGTGACAGAATGTGCATTGTATCAATCTTTTGTTCATTTTTTTCTTGGGAAGTGCTTCAGTTGAAAACTGCAGAAGGAAAGACTTGTTCTAGTGACATTAGTGATAATTATGTGTTTCTCATTTTTTTGTGTTTGGCTCTATTGATCAAAGTATTAAATAAGATTGAATTAACTTAAGAACATTTGCCTACCTTAAGTTAATTAAAGCTGGTTAAATTTTAATCATCTCCAATTGGTGGTGGAAAAGATTGGATGATTATTTACTTTTCAATGTTTATTTATTTGTGCCATTCAGATATTTTCATTTTCAAATAGCAAATCATAATTTAAACAAAATAGCAAATCTCTAAACTACAGTGAAACATAAATTGTAATAGTCCTTTTTAAACCTGTTAAAATTCACATAATTAATTTGAAAATACTAATTATTGAGTAAATAAAATAGCCTTTTTAAAAATTAGAAAGTAATGACTCTCCACATAGTTTACCATAATAATTGAAACCAAAGAAACAACTTCTGGGTCAACGATTTCCAATAGATCTGTTTTAGTCTCAATATTAATTCATTTGTAGTGAAACTGTAATTCTTACTAACTTGATAAATATATAGAGAAGATATTTATGATAAAGTTTAGAACACATGGGAAAGAACGTTGTCATGATTTATATATACTTCAAAAGAGCTACTTTTCCAGGAATGTAATTCAATATACTAGTAATCCATAAATCTGATTATTTAATAATATGTTAATTTCATTCCATGCTATACTCCCTTGAAATATGAAATCTGGGAAATTAAATAAATACAAAGCAAAGCATCTAATAAAAAAAACCATAGTATTTTCTCAAGCATAGAATATTTTATAGCTAAATGGGTGTAGTAATGGATTAGGACTCTAAGCGCCGCTGTTCACCTACTTGGAGAGAAATGCAGCCAATGCATCCTCCGGTTGAACTCAGGGTTACCATCTCGCAAAGACGCGCAGATTCTAAGACGAATTCCTGTACTCCAGCGAAATTCAGTCCCGAAATTTGGGGCACTCAATCTTTCCGGTTCATAGCAGTGGCAAAAAAAAAAAAAAAAAGCAGAAAAAACGTAAGCAAGACGTAGTATGCCTAGTGAAGATTCTGAAAGAATTCGGTAGTGAAAGAAAAATGGCCGCTCCACTAAATCCAGGAGAACGCTGCAAGTTTATCCTGCTGTGCGTTTTCCTGGGGACGCTGTGGGCGACCGGGATAGGGCAGATTCTCTATTCCGTGCCTGAAGAGACAGACAAAGGCTATGTCGTGGGCAATATCTCCAAGGATTTAGGCCTAAAGACAGAGGAGTTGGCAGAGAACAGAATCCGCATCGTCTCCAGAGGTAAGACCCAGCTCTTTGCTCTGAACCCGAAAAGCGGCAGCTTGATCACAGCGGGCAGGATAGATCGAGAGGAGCTTTGCACGCAGAGCGCACGATGTGTTGCAAATATAAACATTCTGGTTGCGGACAGGGGAAAACTTTTTGGAATAGAAATAGAAATAACTGATATCAACGACAATACCCCAAAATTCCAGACTGAAAATCTGGAAGTAAAAATTAACGAAATCGCTGCGCCTGGAACACGTTATCCCCTCCCAGAAGCTGTTGATCCCGACGTGGGCATAAACTCCCTCCAGAGCTACCAGCTCAGCCCCAATCGCCACTTCTCCCTGGACGTGCAGACTGGAGATGATGGAACTATAAGCCCAGAGCTGGTGCTGGAGCGCGCTCTGGACCGCGAAGAAGAGGCTGCTCACCACCTGGTCCTCACTGCGTTCGATGGCGGCGACCCACGTCGCTCCAGCACAGTGCGCATCCATGTGACAGTGCTGGATACCAATGACAATGCTCCGGGTTTTGATCAACCGGTTTACCGAGCGAAAGTCCCAGAGAACGTGCCCTGGGGCACCCGACTGCTAACTGTCAAAGCTACCGACCCGGATGAGGGAACCAATGGAAAAGTGGCCTATAAATTTTGGAAAATTAATGAAAAGCAATCTCCGTTATTCCACCTTAATGAAAATACCGGGGAAATATCAACAGCCAAAAGTCTAGATTATGAAGAGTGTCCTTTTTATGAAATGGAAATACAGGCTGAAGATGTTGGGGCCCTCTTAGGGAGGACTAAAGTGCTCATTTCTGTGGAAGATGTAAATGACAATAGACCCGAAGTGATCATTACCTCTTTGTTTAGTCCGATCTTGGAAAATTCTCTTCCTGGGGCAGTAGTTGCCTTCTTGAATGTGCATGATCGTGACGCTGGAAAGAATGGTCAAGTCGTCTGTTCCATACCTGAGGATTTGCCTTTTAAGTTAGAAAAATCAATAGATAATTATTATAGATTGGTAACATGGAAATATTTGGACAGAGAAAAAATCTCTTTGTACAATATTTCGGTGACGGCCTCAGATCTAGGAGCCCCTCCTCTGTCCACTGAAATTCACATCGCTTTGCACGTGGCAGATACCAACGACAATCCTCCAGCTTTCCCTCATTCCTCCTACTCAGCCTATATTCCAGAAAACAACCCCAGAGGCGCTTCGGTCTTCTCAATAACTGCACGCGATCCAGATAGCGAAGAGAATGCTCGGATCACTTACTCCCTTACTGAAGATACCGTTCAGGGGGCACCTATCTCTTCCTACATCTCCATCAATTCTGACAATGGCGTGCTCTACGCACTCCAATCCTTCGACTATGAGCAGATACGAGACCTGCAGCTACAGGTGACTGCCAGCGACAGCGGGGATCCACCGCTCAGCAGCAACGTGTCGCTCAGCCTGTTCATTCTGGACAAGAACGACAATGCACCCAAAATCCTGTACCCCGCTTTTCCCACGGATGGTTCTACTGGTGTAGAGCTGGCTCCCCGCTCTGCAGAGCCCGGCTACCTCGTAACCAAAGTGGTGGCGGTTGACCGCGATTCAGGACAGAACGCTTGGCTATCCTACCGCTTGCTCAAGGCCAGTGAGCCTGGGCTCTTCACAGTAGGGGTGCACACAGGCGAGGTACGCACAGCTCGAGCCCTGCAGGACAGAGATGCTCTCAAGCAGAGTCTGGTGGTGACTGTCCAGGACCACGGTCAGCCCCCCCTCTCGGCTACCGTCACGCTCACAGTGGCCGTGGCGGACAGCATCCCCGACATCCTAGCTGACCTTAGCACCCTCGAATCTCCCGCCAACACAGACGTCTCTGGCCTCACAATGTACCTGGTGGTGGCTGTGGCCGCTGTCTCCTGCGTCTTCCTCGTTTTTGTCATTGTGGTGCTGGCGTTCAAACTGCGGCGCTGGTACTCGTCGCGTCTGTTCCAGGCTGCGGTAGGCGAGTTGGCGGGTGTGCCCACATCAAACTTTGTGGGCATCGATGGGGTACAGGCTTTCCTGCAGACCTATTCCCACGAGGTCTCTCTCACCGCAGACTCAGGGAAGAGCCACGTTATCTTTCCTCAGCCTAATTACGCAGACACTCTCCTCAGTCAAGAGAGCTGTGAAAAAAATGATCCTTCGTTAACATTCATAGGCTATCCTGAACCTAAGGATGAAGCTGCTTGTGTTGAGGTAAGTTCAAGTCTTTGTTTTTATTTTTTGAGGAATTATATTTGATAGGACGTCATGTGTTTTCAAACAAATAATGTAGATAGAATTGAAAAAAATTTTTAATACACAACAAAATATGGGGGGTTATTTTTCTTTTGTTACTTAAATTGAACTCTGGGTTCCGTTGTTTCATTTCTTTCGAAAACATTGTGAACTCTCAAAAAATTTTAAAAGCCTTCCACTACACTCAGTATCACTCATTCACTGAAGAATTAGTTGCCCACCACATAGGGTAAGTTTGCTATTGTATGCTTTCTTTTATATATACATAGAACTCATGTATTTCCGAAAGTAGTACTCAGGAAGAATTATTTAGAAGTCTAAATCCTTGTTTTAACTTAGTAAAGGTAAAATGCACCTCAGAATTTTTAGAATTCATTTAGAGTTTTAGAAAAATGGTCTAGAGTTTGGATTTACTACTACCCAATAACACCACTGCCATGTAATCAACTCCAACTTATAGTGATCTATGAGACAAAGTAAAGCTACCTTATGTTGTTGTTGTTGTTGTTAAGTGCCTTCGAGTCGGTTCCGACTCATAGTGACCTTGTACAGGGTTTCCGAGGGTGTAAATGTTTACGGGAGTAGAAAGCCTCTTCTTTTTCCCGCGGAGCAGCTGGTAGTTTCGAACTGCTGACCTTGCGGGTCACAGCCCAATTTGTAACCACTACGCTACCAGAGCTCCTTATAGGGTTTCCTAAATTGTGACTATTTCAGGAAGCAGATGCATGGAGGGTGGCATGTTCAAACCACCAACCTTTAGGGTAGCAGCCCAACTCAAAACCTACTGCGCCACCAGGGTTCCTGGACCCATAACTACGCTTTTACATTTTTCTTCAATGTAAACCTCTTTTCTGACCCCTTCAAAGCTTTACTACTGTATATCATAGTTTGAAATATAAATCCACTTTAAAGGATGAATTCTAATGGAAGGTGATATTCTAAACATTGTATCTGTTTTCGGTGACCACCCAAGTCTTTTATCAGTGCATACATGAAATTGAAAGCTGGGAATCATCATTAACCTCCCCCTAAATCAAAATACAATCAAGTCATGTCCGTCTGAAATCAAATGTAATTTCAAACTCCTGAAAATGAATTTTGTAAAATATGAAAAAACAGGTTTCAGTAGAATTCCAGTGAGCTGATCTGGTTGTGCAGTCATGTGCAATGTGTCTGTGGATTCCTGAAGGGAGATCTGGGGAATATGGATTTAAGACCAAAAGTTTCATGTGCACAAATTCAAAACAAACTCATCAATTCAATTTAAACTGATGCAGTCTGGACTTCACATCTTCTGTACTCCTTTCTGTGGTGTTTGAATAAAACTAATCTCCTGATTTGATTGTCATCAGGGTGGAAGTGAAAGACATAAATCTTGTTATTAGTGAAAAGGATATTTCTCATGGCCTGTTTGGTGTTTTGTTCAGTTTTGCATATAAATGACCATCCCTGAAGTGAGAGTTTATCTACATGCTTTCTGTAATGTCTGACTGCGGTCCTGGTGTGGCCCTGTAGGATAAGCACTGGATTGCTAACCAAATGGTTGATGGTTCAAGCCCACCAGGCACTCCTCAGAAACTCTATACAGAATCAAAATAATTTGGCACCGACTTGCTGGCACTTAACAACAACAACAGCAGTGTCTGACTGCACAATCATTTGTTGGGACAACTGTATTTACAGACTTTTGCAAGTTTAAAAAGTGTAAAGTTGCCCTAATAAAAAAAGAAAATCCAAACCCTGTCTCAAAATGTTCACTAATCATTTTGCAAATGAAGTTAATAAGAATGAGACCAAAGTGCACTTTATCCAGTAAATTTATACAAAAGAAAAGTTCATGTGCTCATTTCTCCAATTGCAAAGCCATTGCCTCCGTATATCATAGTTGCATAGATGAATGGATAAATTTGTTTACTATAAAGGGCATGATGTAATTCAGGTGATAAACAGAAATTAAACAGATGGACTTAGGTAGACCATCTTACAACTATAGCATAAGAAGAATTTTCTTGCTTGAATAATTCTTGTGGTAGTCAGAAGAGTTGTTTTTTTTTAAGCCATAAAGAAGTCATTGTTATCCAGAAGAAGTGGTGGTTGGGGATTGGTACAAAACTGCACACCTTTAGAAAATAATTTTCAACTCTAATGTATGTGATGCAAAGCACCTAGAAATGTTGGAGGAATAAACTTTTTGATGAAAGAAGGATTAAAATTATTTTAGCATGTAATGGCTAAGAAAGAGAGATGAATTCATAAAATAAGTAGATTCTGAAGTTTCTGAACGTAAGTACTGTCTTACTCTTTCTATTACATCCACTGCAGTCCTTAGCATAGCTGAAGAATGATGAAATAAATGGTCCAATATTTGTAAGTTTATGTAAAAATTCCATATTATATTCGAAACAATTTTAAAACTTAAGAAAAGATACCTTAACAAGAGTGTTTATAGTTTAACCTATTAATTATATGGGCATGCAAACGTGCCCTTATCAGTTGAGCGCACACATTCATTGGTTTTTGCTAAACTGAAGCAGCAGATGCTGCAGTTCCCTAGTGAGGACTCTGGGCGCCGCTGTTGGCCAAAGTGGAGCGCTTGGTGCTCGCGGATCTTCCTGCGCAGCCGCAGAGCACTTTCCAGGGCAACCCATTTCAGACTTGCTACCGCGAGCGTTTCAACCACTTCTTCTTCTAAAAAAAGACGAATTCCGGATTCTCACTACTGGAACTGAAGGTTGATCAGAGCTACAGACTTCTGCAATACAGAGATTATTCTGCAATACAACCGGGAGTCTCCGGGTGGTGAGCAAACTGAGGGGAACCAGAGGGATGGGCAGCGGCACTAGGGAGTGGGGCCGGGCTGAAAGGCGGCGAGCGTTCTTTCCCTTCCTGCTATCTTTGTTCGGCCTGGTGCTCTCAGAGCAGATCCGCTACAGGATTCCCGAGGAAATGCCCAAGGGTTCGGTGGTGGGCAACCTGGCCAAGGACCTAGGGCTCAGTGTGCATGAGTTACCGACTCGAAAACTGCGAGTCAGTTCGGAGAAGCCTCACTTCGCAGTGAGCGCAGAGAGTGGAGAGTTACTTGTGAGCAGCAGGCTAGACAGGGAGCAGATATGTGGGAAGAAGCCAGCCTGTGCTCTGGAATTTGAGGCTGTTGCTGAAAATCCGTTGAACTTTTACCACGTGAATGTGGATATTGAAGATATCAATGACCACACGCCGAAATTCACACAAAATGCTTTTGAACTTCAAATTAGCGAGTCTGCACAGCCTGGTACGCGATTTATATTAGACGTAGCGGAAGATGCGGATATTGGTTTGAACTCTCTACAGAATTATAAACTCTCTCCAAGCTCTAGTTTTTCATTGATAAACAAAGTGAAACAAGATGGCAGTAAATACCCCGAATTGGTGTTGGAGAAACCTTTAGACCGGGAAAAGCAGAGTTATCATCCTTTAGTTTTGACAGCCTTGGACGGCGGAATTCCAACCTTAAGTGGTACCACTGAGCTCCGGATCCAGGTTACTGATGCCAATGATAACCCCCCTGTATTCAACCAGGACGTGTACAGGGTCAGCCTTCCAGAAAATGCACCCCCGGGCACCCCTGTGCTGCGCGTGTCAGCTACAGACGAGGATGAAGGCGTCAACTCAGAAATCACGTATTCCTTCCACAGAGCCGGGCAAGTGTTTCATCTAAATTCAAATAGCGGGGAAATCACAACTCTTAAAACATTGGATTTCGAAGAAATCAAAGAATATTCTATAGTGGTGGAAGGGAGAGATGGCGGAGGACTAGTTGCACAATGTACAGTTGAAATTGACATTCAAGATGAAAATGATAACAACCCAGAAGTGACAGTTCATTCTCTCCTCGAAATGATTCCGGAAAACGCAATACCAGGAACATTGATTGCTTTAATCAAAATACATGACCAAGATTCAGGGGAAAATGGGGAGGTAAATTGTCGATTAGAAGGTATAATCCCTTTTAAGATTATTTCTTCATCCAAAAATTCATATAAATTGGTGACAGATGGAGCCCTGGACCGAGAGCAGACACCAGAGTACAACGTCACCATCACAGCCACTGACACAGGCAAGCCACCTCTTTCTTCCAGAACAAGCATCACTCTGCACATCGCTGATGTTAATGACAACACTCCAGTTTTCAGCCAAGCCTCCTACGTTGTCCACGTGACTGAGAACAATCCTCCTGGCTCTTCCATTGCACGAGTCAGCGCCTCTGATCCTGACTTGGGAGCCAATGGCTATGTATCCTATTCCATTGTGGCCAGCGACCTGGAACCGCAGGTGCTGACATCCTACGTGTCTGTGAACACGCAGAGCGGGGTGGTGTACGCTCAGCGCGCCTTCGACCACGAGCAGCTACGCGCCTTCGAGCTGACGCTACAGGCGCGTGACCAGGGCTCGCCCATGCTCAGCGTCAACGTGAGCCTGCGCGTGCTAGTGGGCGATCGCAACGACAACGCTCCCAGGGTGCTGTACCCAGCGCTGGGACCCGAAGGCACAGCGCTCTTCGACACGGTGCCGCGCGCAGCACAGCCTGGCTACCTGATCACCAAGGTGGTGGCAGTAGATGCGGACTCGGGGCATAACGCCTGGCTGTCCTACCACGTGCTTCAGGCAAGTGAGCCTGGGCTCTTCAGTCTGGGGTTTCGCACGGGCGAGGTGCGCACCGCTCGCGCCTTGGGCGACAGGGACTCCACCCGCCAGCGCCTGCTGGTCGCTGTGCGCGATGGAGGACAGCCACCTCTCTCAGCCACTGCCACTCTGCTCCTGGTCTTTGCTGACAGCTTGCAGGAGGCGTTGCCAGACCTCAGCGATCGACCCACACCCTCTGATCCCCAGGCTGAGCTGCAGTTTTATCTGGTCTTGGCTTTGACCTTGATCTCGGTACTTTTCCTCCTCGCTGTGACTCTGGCCATAGCCCTGCGCCTGCGACGCTCCTCTAGTCCCGCTTCCTGGAACTGCTTTCAGTCTAGTTTCTGCTCCAAGCCTGGACCCGTGGTTCCCTCCAACTACAGTGAGGGAACTTTGCCTTATTCTTACAATCTGTATGTTACACAGACGGGAAAGACAGAATTCAATTTCTTGAAATGTAGTGAGAAACTGAATTCAGGACAAGATATAGTTTGTGGTGATTCGTCAGGGGTCTTATTTCCACTCTGTAGTTCAAGTGAGTCAACTTCTCATCCTGAGTCTGTAGAGCCGGTAAGTAGCATTTAAATGTCTCCTCCTTTCTTTCCCTAACCAGTTTTCCATATGTACATGAAAATATGTTGCATTACCGTTATGTAGTCAGTGGTCTTACTAAAATTATAGTCAGTGAAAAAGCTCACATTTCTTTCTTCAAGGTGAATGTGAATTGGGGGTGGCTATGGATGGAGAAAACTTTATACTGGACTACTCACCAGGAAGCCCTGGTGTGGCTCTGCAGGTTAATGCACTGGACCACAAGGTCAGTTTGAACTGCAGGATCACTAAAGATTAGTGGTTGGAACCCACCGCTGCAAAAAGTGACAATGCAAAACAAAAACCTAGCAATCTAGTACCATGAAGGTTGCAGCCCCAAATTGTAACACATAGTTAATAGGTGTGTGGGTTTTTTTCTTTTTGTTTGTTTGGTTTTTTTTTTCCTTCCCTTTCGGGGATTTTTCAGGTTTTTGTTTTTGTATGTGGCTTAGAAAATAGAGATATCTTACCAACTTTGGATTACAAAATAATGAAGGCGCACACTTTTTTTTTTTTTTTTGCTTCACAGTAAAAAGAATGGAAAATTTTTTCTCTTTATTTTTCAAAGTTAATGAAATTTGCTCATGGATTACCTCATTCATTACTTTAAAAATACTTAAATTTTTGTTATCTATAAATTAACATTAAATTTAAAGTAAGCAATAATTTAATTCATCCTTTAGATTAAAAAAAAAAAGCAAAAAACTAATTACTACTAGGTACCTTCCTTCACTGATTTCACTGTTACAACTTTCTTCTCTTTCTCTGTGTTAATTCCTTATGTCTAGTTCTTTATACCTACCTACTGGTTCATGGTTCTCTGACTCCCCTAAAATTGTATTAAATATGTTGTGTGAGAGAGAATTTAATGAATTCATCAGAGGGTCCATGTTATTACTTTTTTTTCCTTCCAACATTGGGTTTTAAGATTAATCTCTTAAATTTCTTCATGCTTTGGGGTATCAAATCAACCCCTTCCTCTTTATACTAATGTGGTGGAGGTGGTGGTGGTGTGCTGTGGAGTCAGTTCTGACTGATAGCGACCCTGTATAAGGTTTCTGAGGCTGTAAATCTCTACAGGAGCAGAAAGTCCCATCTTTTTTCCATGGAATGGCTGGTAGTTTCAAACTGCTGACCTTGAGGTTAGTAGCCCAACTTATAACCACTATGCTATCAGAGCTCCTTCTTTATACTAATAATATATATAATATATAATGATGACAATATAACCAGAAGAAAAACACTTGATGAAAGAAATGTTACTGCACTGATTTCTTTTGCTCTCATCCCTGACATATAATCAGGGGGGAGGTAAAAAGAGACACTGATTTTTTTTTTTTTTTTTTTGAGCTCTATGCATAGAAGTGATAGAGATTTTCTGATTATCCTTATAGTCTTAGAAATCTTGCATTACTAGTTTGTTGTGCTTACAAACATCCATCATTTGCTTGGTATCTCTTAGCAACGGCTTCGGTTAATGGCATCTTTACCATTGAACGAGCTTTCTTATAATGGCCCTTTTACTTTTCAGTGATAATCACTTGTGCTATAGTTTCTTCTTTTCCCCAAATTATGACATAAGTTTAAATTATGGTAAGAATACATATCTTAAATAAGAAGTTGAAGAATACTTTAAAATTGCATAAGGAGTGAGATAGAAACTCACTTTTAACTGTATATTCATTTGAATCTTCCACATAAGAGTAGCCAAATGCTGTATTCAAACGAAAAAAAATTTTAATGGCAGAAAAGTTTAACAATCACAAATATGAGAATTAAAAAATATAATTATCTTATATAGATAATAATATATGGATATTATCACCTAAATTTGGCAATATTAGGTGATAATATCCATATATTATTATTGTTGTTGTTAAGGGCTATAGGAGTCAGTTCTGACTCATATTTGTTGTTGTAAAGTGCCTTTGAGTTGGTTCAGACTCATAGCGATCCTGTATAGTTTCTAAGGCTAATAAACACGCATGATTATTACTTACTTTATTTTCTTAAAGGAAAAATTTACAGGAATTTTGCTATAAAGTAAATTTAGATGTATAAAGCTAATTCAGAAGTTAATGATATAGCCATGTATATTTAATAAAGTTACCTACTATATATATAGCATATATGAAATGTAGAAAAATAACAATTTTTTTCCAGAAGATTGCACATCTTAATTATTTCTGAAAATTGTTGATACATAGAAAAAAGATGGGAGCACCACAAAAAATTTAAATAGTTTAGAGAGCAAGAGTCTATCAAGAATAAGGGTAAGTTAACAACAATAGTAATCGTAATCAAAAAAAGAGTCTAGTGATTTAATAATACACATAGAAATGTCACTCTACATCAACTTCCACTAAGATATCTAAAAATGATCTTTGCTTTTGGAACATGACTGAAATAATCAATTGGAAAATATAAAATCTCATAATTAAAAAAATACTATAATCAAGTATTACAGTGGGTGTAGTAACGATTTAGAACTCTGGGCGTCGCTGTTCACCAACTCTGCGAGAAATCTCAAACAGCGCTTCATCCGGATTTTTAGAGCTACAACTACACAAAGCCCTTTAGCTCTCAGAAACCGGCTCCGGGACTTCAGTAAACCTCAGCCTCTTAACTTCGGACACTCGGGCTTTTTTTTTTTTTTTTTTTTTTTGAAGAAAAACATCACCATACTTGAAAGAGGGAAAAAAGGAACCTAATGAGTACAGAGAGAATTCTGAGAAAATTCCGTAGCGAAGCAACAATGGCTGCTCCAACGAGTCGCCAGCACCTCAGAAGATTGGTCCTGCTGTGCTTTTTCCTGGGGACACTGTGGGATTCTTGGGCCAGTCAAATTCGCTACTTAATGCCCGAAGAGACAGAAAAGGGCTACATTGTGGGCAACATCTCCAAGGACCTGGGGCTGGAACTCCGGGAGCTGGCAGAGCATGGAGTCCGCATTGTCTCCAGAGGTAAGAGCCAGCTCTTTGCTCTAAATCCGAAAAGCGGCTGCTTGATCACAGCGGGCAGGATAGACCGAGAGGAGCTTTGTGCTCAGAGTGCACCATGTTTGGTTAACTTTAAAGTACTGATTGAAGACAGAGTACAACTATATGGAATTCAAATAGATATAACTGATATTAATGACAATACCCCAAAATTCCAGACTGAAAATCTGGAAGTAAAAATTAGTGAAATCGCTGCGCCTGGAACGCGTTATCCCCTCCCAGAAGCTGTTGATCCCGACGTGGGCGTAAACTCCCTCCAGAGCTACCAGCTCAGCCCCAATCGCCACTTCTCCCTGGACGTGCAGACTGGAGATGATGGAACTATAAGCCCAGAGCTGGTGCTGGAGCGCGCTCTGGACCGCGAAGAAGAGGCTGCTCACCACCTGGTCCTCACTGCGTTCGATGGCGGCGACCCACGTCGCTCCAGCACAGTGCGCATCCATGTGACCGTGCTGGATACCAATGACAATGCTCCGGGTTTTGATCAACCGGTTTACCGAGTGAAAGTCCCAGAGAACGTGCCCTGGGGCACCCGACTGCTAACTGTCAAAGCTACCGACCCAGATGAGGGAACCAATGGAAAAGTGGCCTATAAATTTTGGAAAATTAACGAAAAGCAATCTCCGTTATTCCACCTTAATGAAAATACTGGGGAAATATCAACAGCAAAAAGTCTAGATTATGAAGAGTGTGCTTTGTATGAAATGGAAATACAAGCCGAAGATGGTGGGGGATTAAAAGGTAGGACTAAAGTGCTCATTTCTGTGGAGGATGTAAATGATAATAGTCCAGAAGTAACCATTACATCTCTGTTTAGTCCAGTGAGGGAAGACACTCCTCCAGGAACAGTAATGGTGCTTTTTAATGCTCATGACGGTGACTCTGGGAAGAATGGTCAAATTGTCTGTTCTATCCAGGATAATTTACCATTTACATTAGAAAATTCAATTGATGATTATTATCGATTGTTGACAGCTCAAATTCTTGACCGAGAAAAAGTCTCTGAATATAACATCACAGTGACAGCGACAGACAGAGGAACTCCATCCCTGTCCACTGAAACGCACATCACCTTACATGTCACTGACATCAATGACAATCCTCCCACCTTTTCCCATGCCTCTTATTCAGTCTACCTTCCGGAGAACAATCCCAGAGGCACCTCCATCTTCACTGTGACAGCTCATGACCCCGACAATGGGGAGAATGCCAGGGTTATTTACTCCCTGACCGAAGACACCATTCAGGGGGCACCACTGTCCTCCTTCGTTTCCATCAACTCAGACACAGGCGTCATGTACGCACTTCGATCTTTCGACTATGAGCAGTTCCGAGACATGCAGATGTGGGTCTCAGCAAGCGACAGTGGGAACCCGCCACTCAGCAACAATGTATCGCTGAGCCTGTTTGTACTGGACGAGAACGACAACGCCCCGGAGATCCTGTACCCCGCCCTCCCCACAGATGGTTCCACCGGCGTCGAGCTGGCGCCGCGCTCGGCAGAACCTGGTTACCTAGTGACCAAAGTGGTGGCGGTAGACAGAGACTCGGGTCAGAACGCCTGGCTGTCCTACCGCATGCTCAAGGCCAGTGAGCCAGGGCTCTTCGTGGTGGGGGTGCACACGGGCGAGGTGCGCACCGCGAGGGCCATGCTGGATAGAGACGCGCTCAAGCAAAGCCTGGTGGTGGCGGTCCAGGATCACGGCCAGCCCCCTCTCTCGACCACCGTCACACTTACTGTGGCCGTGGCCGACAGCATCCCCGATGTTCTGGTGGACCTGAGCAGTCGGGAGGTCCCCGGTGATCCAGAGGCTTCCGGCCTAACATTCTACCTTGTGGTGGCTGTGGCAGTGGTCTCCTGCGTTTTCCTTGCCTTTGTCATAGTGTTGCTGGCACTTAGGTTGCGACGTTGGCACATGTCGCACCTTCTTGGGGCTTCAGACAGCGTATTGCCAAGTCTACCTGCCTCACACTTTGTGGGCGTGGATGGGGTTCAGGCCTTCCTGCAGACGTACTCCCACGAGGTCTCCCTCACCGCGGACTCGCGGAAGAGTCACCTGATCTTCCCCCAACCCAACTATGCGGACACACTTATCAGCCAGGAGAGTTGTGAGAAAAGCGAGCCTTTGTGTGTTTCAGATGAGTCCAAGTTTCCTATAGAAGACACCCCTTTGGTTCCAGTAAGTTCTATTTTGTACGTTTTTTTTCTTCTATTCAAGTTGCTTTCTCTTTCATTTTCTGCACTTCAGGTAATTTGTTTTTAATGTATTTCTCACTTTCATTTAAATTTCTGCAGAACCTAATTTTTGTTCCGGCTTCTAAAGGAGACATTTATTGATCGCATCATGGAAATGATTTTCACTTCTTATAATAATTTATCTAATCAATGTAAGCTCTTCCTCATGGGGCTTCTTTCATTTTCTTACTTACACTGATTCAGACCTTCAGATGGCAGTAATTGACGGTGATTGGTTACTGGATCAGGTTACAGTGGTTCACTATTACTCCCTAGGACAGCATTTCCATTCCTGAAGTTTACTCATCATTATCTCCACTGGCTCTGTAGGATAAGTACTGGACTACTAATCAAAAAATTGGTGGTTCAAACCCACCAGCCAGTCCTCGGAAACCCAATACAGGGTTTCTGTGAGTTGGAACAGACTCCACAGCACTAAACAATGTCAGAACCGACTCCATGGCACTAAACAACATCTCTAAGAAACAGTTTGTAAAATTCTTATCCTTAAAACCCTATCTATAGCAGATAGTATTTTTGTAAGCAAATCTATTTAGTTGGGGTAAATTAATAGCAAAACAAATACGTTCTTTTAAAGAAACAACTAAAATCCCAGATTCACTGCTCACACCATCCTGTTTCTTTGGATCACATCCCTTTGATGTGTACGATCTGTTTTGATTTAAAGACCTCTGTTGCATCTGAGAAAGATTCAAACTTCACTATCATTCACTTCCAAGCCATAGTGAAGAATGCCTTTTTTATTTTCAAAGATTTTAAGTTCCTAGTGGTGCTGTGGGTTAGTGCACCAGACTGCAAAACCATTTGAACTTCATGGTTGGCGGTTCAGGCTCACCAGCTGCTCCTCGGAAACCCTATATAGGGTTGTTATGGCTTGGAACCAAAAAATGGCACTTAACAACAACCACAACAATGGTGCATTAAGGAGCTCTGGTAGCATAGAGGTTATGAATCTGGCTGCTAACCTCAAGGTCAGCGATTCTAAACTACCAGCCAGCTGTTCAGCAGGAGAAAGATGAGGCTTTCTGCTTCTGTAGAGATTTACAGCCTGGGAAACCCTATGCAGGATCGACTTCACCGACACACTACCAACACCAATGCTGTATTACGATATCAGGTTATGTTCCTAGATAATCGTCGGAATCTGATAAATGCTAGTATCAGATTATAAAGGATAGTTTGTACTCATTTTCCCTATAGTTTATGCTTGCTAAAAAGAGGGGTTTCTGAGAATGTAGATGGTCAAAACAAGGTAAAAAAAAATTCTACCTCAACTATCTGTTATTTCAGGCTCGCTCGAGTCTCCAAACTTGGAGGTTGGAATCTGAATATAGGAGATTATTTAGGAAAAATTTTAGGAATCACTATGGAAGTTTTAAGGATATTTTATTGGCTTTTAGTGATAGGAAAAAGAATAATATATTATTAATTTTTATTTTAAGCATAAATATTATCAAGGGTCAAGTAACAAATGACACTCCAGAAGATGATCTGAAAATAACCTTTGTAGTTGACACAAATTCTAGTCTATCCATAGACACATTGATGACTGGTGGCATTTTAATGGAAAGAGAATTAGTTTGTCTTTATAATTTTTGTAACTCATAGTCTTTTATTTATGAGAAAATAAAGAATAACATGTCTGAAACCCACTATGAAACACATACTAATAGAGACCAGTATTTCAGACACTGTGATTTTGCTAGCAATAAAATGTAAAGCATTTTCAGGGTCATGCTTTTAACCATGCAATAAGAAAATTGTCATTTAAATTTCTGTCCTAAGAATTAACCTTCAGTTCTTAATATTCATAAATATTAAAATAGATCTTATTTTATCTTAATTTGGGAACATGTAATAACAGATACTGTTGGAGGTTTGTTATGGTAGGTAGCTATTATTCTCTGCTGCAAAAATTTCACTTGTCTTTAGAAAGAGAACACATGGTTCACTGGATCTATGATTGGATCGCGTCTAGGAAATACTGAACTCTAGTTTTCTTCAACTAAGTATGATTCATTAGAAAATGATAACATATTATAAAAGAGTAGAATTAAAGATAAAATTCTTGTTCTTAATGTCTCATCTTGAAAAGGAGTGTCAATTAAAATGGTATGTCTTCGAAATAATGGGAAGTGCCATATATGAGGGTTCTCTATAAGTTTAAAATTATCCACAGTAAATCGGTTTAAAACACTAAGTATATAAATATATGCTGTAATACTATGGTGAAACTAAAAATAGGATCTATTATGTAACTGCATCATAAAGAGCAGTATACACTCTCTGAAGAGACAGAGGCTGCAGTCCCTTCTATAGCCTCTGGGCGCCGCTGTCGGCCAGTGCAGAGCTAGTGCTGACGCCCGACATCCCCAAACCTCCAGTCTGGGATTTCCTGCGCAGCCACAAACAGAAAGAAGGAAACCAGCTCACACACTGAACTCGCCGCGCCGACACTGTCAAGACATACGGATTCCCATCCCTGAGACTGGAGACTCTGCCTGTCCTGGGCCGAATGCTTTTCTAGGGCCACTGCGGACTGCAGTTTCTTCAGTTTTCCAGAAACGCGTGTGGAAGGACCCAGAGAAGACTGGAGTGCGGGATGGGAGGGAGCTGCGCGCAGGCACATCCGACCAGCCGGCTTCAGGTACTGTTAGCCTTCCTGCTGCCTTTGTTCTGCCCCGCGCTCTGCGAACCGGTCCGCTACGCGATTCCCGAAGAGCTAGCCAAGGGCGCGGTGGTGGGGAACCTCGCTAGAGATCTGGGGCTCAGTGTTCTGGAAGTGTCCGCTCGGAAGCTGCGAGTTAGCGCGGAGAAGCCTTATTTCAACGTAGACTTGGAGAGCGGGAACTTGCTTGTGAAGGACCGGATAGACCGTGAGCAGATATGCAGAGAGAGAAGAATATGCGAGTTGCAGTTGGAAGCTGTGGTGGAAAATCCTTTAAATATTTTTCATGTTCTTGTGGTTGTTGAGGATATTAATGATCACGCCCCTCAATTCGATAAAAAGGATATACATTTAGAAATTGTTGAATCTGTATCGGCTGGTGCACGAATATCCCTTGACCCTGCCACAGACCCCGACATAAACACTAACTCAATTAAAGATTATCAGATAAATCCTAATCCTTACTTTTCATTATTGATTAGAGTTAATTCTGATGGTAGTAAATACCCAGAGTTATCTCTAGAGAAACCCCTAGACCGAGAAGCGCAGAGGTCTCATCACTTAATACTGACTGCCTTGGATGGTGGGGATCCACCCCATAGTGCCACAGCGAACATAGAAATCTTTGTCAGGGACACCAACGATAACCCCCCGGTGTTCAGTAAAGATGAATATAGAATCAGTCTGAGCGAAAATCTACCTCCAGGAACGTCGGTGTTTCAGGTGACAGCCACTGACCAGGACGAGGGCATCAATGCTGAGATAAACTACTACTTCCGAAGCACCATTCAGAGCACAAGGCACACGTTCTCATTAGATGAGAACACAGGTGTGATTACGAATAACCAGTCTTTGGATTTTGAAGATGTAGGAAGATACAGCATGGAAGTGGAAGCCAAGGACGGAGGTGGACTCTCTACTCAATGTAAAGTAATCATAGAAATCCTAGATGAAAACGACAACAGCCCAGAAATAATCATAACGTCTCTCTCTGATCACATTTTGGAGAATTCTTTTTCTGGAATGGTTGTTGCCCTTTTCAAAACACGGGACAGGGATTCTGGGGAAAACGGAGAAGTCACGTGTCGAATAGGACGAGATGTTCCTTTCAAGATTCTTTCTTCTTCTAAAAATTACTACAAGCTGTTGACAGATGGAACCTTGGATCGAGAGAAGACTCCAGAATACAACGTTACTATTACAGCAACCGACAAAGGCAAGCCGCCACTGTCCTCCAGCACAAGCCTCATTCTGCACATCACCGATGTCAATGACAACGCGCCAGTATTCCACCAGGCCTCCTACGTGGTCCACGTGGCTGAGAACAACCCTCCTGGCGTGTCCATTATGCAAGTCAGTGCTTCTGACCTGGACTTAGGGATCAACGGCCAAATATCCTATTCCATCGTGGCCAGCGACCTGGAACCGCGGGCACTGTCATCCTACGTGTCTGTGAACACGCAGAGTGGGGTGGTCTTCGCTCAGCGGGCCTTCGACCACGAGCAGCTACGCGCCTTCGAGCTGACGCTACAAGCGCGTGACCAGGGCTCGCCCGCGCTTAGCGCCAACGTGAGCCTGCGTGTGCTAGTGGGCGATCGCAACGACAACGCGCCCAGGGTGTTGTATCCGGTGCTGGGACCCGAAGGCTCTGCGCTCTTTGACATGGTGCCGCGCGCAGCACAGCCTGGCTACCTCATCACCAAGGTGGTAGCGGTAGACGCAGACGCTGGACACAATGCCTGGCTGTCTTACCACGTGCTGCAAGCCAGCGAGCCTGGTCTCTTCAGTCTGGGGCTGCGCACGGGAGAAGTGCGCACAGCACGCGCCTTGGGCGATAAAGACGTGTCCCGTCAGCGCCTGCTTGTAGCTGTGCATGATGGAGGGCAGCCACCACTCTCAGCCACCGCTACACTGCTCCTGGTCTTCGCAGACAGCCTACAGGAAGCGCTACCAGATTTCAGCGACCGCCCCACTTCCCAGGACCCCCAGGCTGAGCTGCAGTTTTATCTGGTCCTTGCTTTGGCTTTGATCTCAGTGCTCTTCCTCCTCGCGGTAATTCTGGCGATTGCTCTGCACCTACGACGCTCCTCCAGCTCCACCGCTGGGGGCTGCTTTCAAATTGATTTTTGCTCCAAATCAGGACCTGTGGTTCCCCCCAACTACAATGAAGGGACTTTGCCGTATTCTTACAATCTGTATGTTGCACAGACGGGAAAGACAGAGTTTAACTTCTTAAAATGTAGTGAACCCTTGCATTCTACACAAGACATAATTTGCGGTGATTCTTCTGGTGACTTAATTCCACTTCATGGGGATAATTTGACTCCACCTTCTAATACTCTAGCACCGGTGAGTTTCATTTTTGTGTCTTCTCTAATCTGCTAGTTTCTCGCGTATCAAGGGTACGACTTTATTTTCATATCTAGAATTCTATCTGGTGATGGTGGGCTGTTGAGTCAGTGACTCTGTATATGGTTTCTGATGTAAATCTTTAGGGAGCAGAATACCTCATCTGTCTCCAGCAGAACGGCTGGTGGGTGTGAACTACTGACCTTGCGTTAGCAGCCCAATTCATAACCCACTACGCTACCGGCATCTTAGAATCTTTTTAGAAAACCAATAACCCATAGCTATCTTATCTTCTTAATATTTACTTTTTATTATTATATTTTTCAAAAGATTTATTTATCTTACAAATTGCTCTGTAGAATGCAACCATAATTGGCTATGTCTTGTCAGGTTCTGCTAAGCAAAGCAAAGGTAATGGTCCTAGTTTCTAAATAAATAAATTCTGCCTCTTGAAGTCTGCCATGAATTTTCCATATCCTATTTATGAGTTTGGTGGTGGTGGCGGTGTGCCATGGAGTTGGTTCTGACTCATAGTGACCCTGCACAGGGCTTCCGAGGCTGTAAATCTTTACGGGAGCAGAAAGCCTCATCTTTCTCCCGGGGAACTGCTGGTAGTTTCAAACTGTTGTCCGTGCGATTAGCAGCCCAACTCAGAACCGGTCTCTATGAGTCAGAATTGACTCCACGGTACACCACCACCATTTATGACCTTGGACTCCTGGTGTGGCGCTGTGGGTTAATGCCCCAGACTGAAAAGTAGTTTTGAACTGCAAGGTCAGCAATTGAAGCTCACCAGCCGCTCCTCAGAAACCCTATCCAGGGTCGCTATGGTTCGAAACTGACTCGAAGGCACTTAACAGCAACAATTTATGAGTTTACATTTATGGCGCTGCAGGATAATGCACTGGACCAAGGTCGGCAGTTCAAACTTATCAGTCGCTCCTTGGAAACCCTATGCAGGGTCGCTATGAACCGGAACCGACTCGAAGGCACTCAACAACAATTTTTTAAAAATTCAGATAAGGAGTAAATATCAATTACATTTTCAAAGAAACATTTATTGCAAAGAATCGCTTAGTTATTTATTTTAATAGGCTTTATTTTCCACACTATAAGCGTGCAGAGGTAGAGAGATCAGCAAATCCAAGAACTCCCTAAAATTGTATGCGAAGTTACATTTTCTTGGAAGAATAAAAACTTTGTCCACATTGCCAAGATTTCTAAAATGGAAAAGTTGCTGCCCTAAAGGAACTTTTCTTTTCAACTTTTTTGCATTGCTGGGTTTCTTCTACATTGACTTATCATATACTGCAGACCAGGGTCCTTATCTTTTCCTGGAGCTCAAATCGCACGCATTCTCAATCTCTTCCTCAATGTTAGAAGATAAGTTCCCAAGAAAGCAAATGAAATGTTGCCTTTTACTTTCGGTCTCTGTCTTTGATTCTCTGCTATAAACCTTTGAATAAAAAAAGATAAAAATCTTTGAAGTGTTCATATTTAGAAGCATGATAACAAAAATCCTTCTGGAAAACCTATATGAAATATGTGAAATTCCAAACCTTCATCTTTGAGGAATGAACTGCTGCTGGGTTGATAGATATTAAAGATGTGTGAATGACTTCATTTTCAGTTTTGGCTTATGAACTGCCTGAGAGAAGAACTTATTTATGTTACTATCAATGCCTCAGTGCCCTGACAGAGCAAGCCATTTGGCATAAACACTTTATAAAAAATAAAAGCTACCTCACTCCAATTCTAATTTAAAAATCTTGGCACTTGAAATTGTACTGTGAAATTAAAAGACAAATATTTCTATTTCAACTGTAATATATGTATTCCTTTTAGTTTGTGGTTTTGCTTGTCCAATTCATTTAAATAGATGTTATATGCCTATATGAAGTGCATATTTTAATTAATTAAGGCTCAATACAATTATTTCAGAAAAGAACATTTTTAAATCTCTTCCCACAATCTTAATTCCAGAAAAATTTAGTAAAATTAAATCTAAAATTTGAAAAGTTTTAAAGTGAATTATCTCATAAAAGGTATATTAATACAGACTTTATGTGATTGTTTACCAAATATAACTGGACCCTTTAAATCGCAATTTCAAAATAATTTTAAGACTTTTCTGAATATAGCTAAAATCACAAGTAAAATAAGCATTACTTTTCTTTTTAAATGGGCATGTTTCTATTGGGAAAATGAGTGTTGTGAATATATTCAATCACTTTATCGTTCACCAAGAAACTTACAAATAGTAATTGATTCTCTTGTGCAGGAATCGAAAAAGTAAGTAAAACAAAATAGCCAACAAAAATCAAATAGCATTTGCTTTCTATTGCAAATATAATGGGTGCAATAACTTCTTAGGACTCTGAGCGCCGCTGTTCACCTACTAGGAGAACACGCAGTCAGATCTCCATCCGAATTCTCCGGGCTTCAACTACACAAAGCCCCACAGTTTGTACAAACGGACTCCAGAACTGCAGGGAAACTCACTCCGCAATTTAACGTGCGCAGGTTACAGAGACTCACTGCAGCCACAGAAAGAAAAAGGAATGGATTGAAATACACAACAGTGCCCACTGAAGACTAGGAGAGAATTTCGTTTCCAGACAACAATGGCTGCTCAAAGGAATCGCCCCGGCCGCAGCGAGCTGGTCCTGCTCTGTCTTTTCGTGGGGATGCTGTGGGAGTCCGGAGCCCGGCAGATCCGCTACTCCGTTCCTGAGGAGCTGGACAAAGGCTCTTTCGTTGGCAATATCTCCAAGGATCTGGGGCTGGAGCCCCGGGAGCTGGCGGAGCGCGGAGTCCGTATCGTTTCCAGAGGTAGGACGTTGCTTTTCGCTCTGGACCCACGAAGTGGCAGCTTGATCACAGCGGGTAGGATAGACCGGGAGGAGATCTGTGCTCAGATAGCAAGGTGTCTGGTGAATTTTAACATCCTTGTTGAAGATCGGGTAAAGCTTTTCGGGATAGAAATAGAAGTAACTGACATTAACGATAATGCTCCGAAATTCCAAGCAGAAAATCTAGACATAAAAATTAATGAAAACGTCCCTCCAGGGACGCATTTTCCGCTCCCGGAAGCAGTGGATCCAGATGTGGGCGTGAACTCCCTACAGAGCTACCAGCTCAGCCCGAATAAGCACTTCTCTCTGCAAGTTCACAGCCGAGCTAATGGAATCAAGTATCCGGAGCTGGTTCTGGAGCGCGCCCTGGATCGCGAGGAAGAGGCGGTGCACCATTTGGTCCTCACCGCCTCCGACAGGGGTGACCCTCTCAGATCTGGCACTGCCCTTGTCAGTGTGACTGTTTTCGATGCAAATGACAACGCACCGGTGTTCACCTTGCCTGAATACCTAGTAAGTGTTCCTGAGAACCTGCCTGTGGGTTCACGGCTACTGACTGTCACCGCTACGGATAGGGATGAAGGAGCCAATGGTGAAGTGACATATTCATTCCGAAAACTCCCCGACACACACTTGTTGAAATTCCAGCTAAACAAAAATACTGGAGAAATAAAAATATCAGAAAATCTAGATTATGAAGAAACAAACTTCTTTGAAATAGAAATACAAGCGGAAGATGGGGGAGCATACCTTGCAACTGCAAAAGTTCTGATAACAGTTGAAGATGTAAATGACAACAGTCCAGAGGTGACCATCACATCTTTGTTTAGTCCAGTGGCTGAAGATGCCCCTCTGGGAACTGTTATAGCTCTTTTACATGTACATGATCTAGACTCTGGGCAGAATGGACAAGTCACCTGCTCCATCTCAGGGAATCTACCATTTAAATTAGAAAAGTCCATTGACAGCTATTATCGATTGGTGACTAACAGAGCCCTTGACAGGGAACAGGTATCCCGTTATAATATCACTGTAACAGCCACAGATGGGGGAAGTCCAGTTTTATCAACGGAAACTCAACTCACCCTGCTTGTGGCAGACATCAATGACAACCCGCCCACTTTCTCTTATGTCTCCTACTCCACCTATATTCCAGAAAACAACCCCAGAGGAGCCTCCATCTTCTCTGTAACTGCACATGACCCTGACAGTGAAAAGAACTCCCAGGTCACTTACTCACTGATTGAAGACACCATCCAGGGGGCGCCCCTGTCCTCCTATGTCTCCATCAATTCAGACACTGGCATCCTGTATGCTCTGCAATCCTTTGACTATGAGCAGTTTCGAGAGTTGCAGATGCAGGTAATGGCATGTGACAGTGGGGACCCACCACTCAGCAGCAATATATCACTGAGCCTCTTCGTGCTTGACCAGAATGATAATGCACCTGAGATCTTATACCCCACCCTGCCCACTGATGGCTCTACCGGTGTTGAGTTGGCACCCCGCTCTGCAGAGCCTGGTTACCTGGTGACCAAAGTTGTGGCTGTTGACCGTGACTCAGGACAGAATGCCTGGTTGTCCTACCGCCTGCTCAAGGCCAGCGAGCCAGGACTCTTTGCCGTGGGGGTGCATACAGGCGAGGTGCGCACTGTGAGAGCCCTACAGGACAGAGACACACTCAAGCAGAGCCTTCTGGTGGCCGTTCAGGACCATGGCCAGCCCCCACTCTCAGCCACTGTCACACTTACTGTGGCTGTGGCAGACAGTATCCCTGATATCCTGGCTGATCTGGGCAACCTCGAACCACCTGCTGACCCTAATGCTTCGGACATCACCTTGTATCTTGTGGTGGCTGTGGCCACAGTCTCATGCGTTTTCCTCGCCTTTGTTATCGTACTGATGGCGCTCAGACTGCGACGCTGGCACATGAAGCGTCTGCTCCAAACTCCTGAAACTGCTTTACCACACCTGCAAGCTTCACAGTTTATGGGCATGGATGGAGTACAGGCTTTCCTGCAGACCTATTCCCATGAGGTCTCCCTCACTGCAGACTCTGGGAAGAGCCACATTATCTTTCCACAGCCCAACTATGCAGACACGCTCATCAGTCAAGAGAGCTGTGAGAAAAAGGATCCTTTATCATTGTTAGATGATTCAAGGTTTCCTATAGAAGACACACCTTTGGTTCCAGTGAGTTCTATTTTTATTCATTTTAAAATTTATTATTTTACTTTTAGGTTTGTAGCATGATTCACTCTTCAAGTTTTCATCACTTTTCCTCTTGTAAAAACATCAAAGATTGAAATCTGTTGGTTCTTAAGACTTTTACTTTCTGGTAAATATTCATGTAGTCCCCATGAAGACATCTTGTCTTAAGGCTGCTATGATTAGTTTTTCAGAGTCTTATATTTTGTAATTTTGTTTATTATGATACTGCCAATTCTGAATAGAAGATTCTATACAGGAATGTCATTCAATGTGTCCTCTGGACCCAAGTCCCTTAGACCTCTTCAAGACATGCTCTTATTTTGAAGGCATATTTGGAGAGAATATATAAATATCAGAAACAAATGCATTAGCTTTATTGGAAAGACAATCAAAGCCAAAGGTCATTGAAAATTGTTCTTTTCAAGGAACAACTACACCTTTGTAGTCTATTTTTCAAATTGAGTTTTTAGTTGAATACACTTCCCAGGGAGATTTAAACTTTTCCTTGGTGTTCTATCAACAATTTATAGCAATGTGTGCTTAACCTTTTCCAGCTGTAATCATACCTGGTAACACTGTATGATTGTTTTGCCTGTCATTCTCTATTTTCATAGTGCTATGACTTGACAGCACTTAACAACAACAACAATGTGGAAAATATAAAGAGTCCTGGTGGTCCTAGACAGCTAACCACAAAGTTAGTAGTTCAAAACCACCAGCCACTGTGGGAGAAAGACTAGGCTTTCTGCTCCTGTAAACATGTACAGCCTTGGAAACGACACAAGTTTACTATGAGTCAGAGTTGCACCATGGCAGTGGGCTTGGTTTGGGATTTATGTGGAAGACATAGCATTTTAATACAGGTCTATGGTAGATTTGTGTAAAGAGAGCACACCCGTCAGGGCCATAATTGTTGTTGTTAAGTGTTGCAGAGTTGGTTCCAAACCATAGCGATCTTGTATAGGATTTCCGAGGAGCAGTTGGTGGGTTTGAACCACTGACCTTGTAGTTCAAACTGACCTTGCGGTCCAGCATTATCCTGCAGCACCACAGCACCATGAAATTAGTTAAACTATCATTTAAACTTCTCACCATGAGAACTGGGCTACTGGTGTAGTGCTGTAGGATCAGCATTGGACTATGAACAACATGGAGGCAGTTCAAACCCACCAGCTGCTCCTTGGAAACGCTATACAGAGTCGCTATGCTTTGGAACCCACTCTACAACACAACAACAACAGCAACCATGAAAGCCCAAATGACTATACATTCACCTCAAATAATTCCTTTATTTTGAAAAACACGGGCTAAAAAACCACTATTTTCCATTGAAGTTATTGTAGACAATGTTTTAAATATAATTATTTAAACACAGTACAGAGCAACCTGGATGATTGAAATGAAGATGGCAATGGTTGCATTCTAGTTCCTAAACATGGATGGAAACGATGAATATGGACTTGGGTTAACGACAAAAAGGTTGTTCCTTAAGTACTATCAGTCTCATGAAAAATTGTGCTTGAAAGTAGTAACAGTGCCTCTGGATGGAAAAACTCAATAGCAGTGGGCATTGGAATAGAAGTACAACTTTCTATTTTTTGCACCTTTTTATTTTCAAAGAAATTATTTTATCCGTTTAAAATAAATTCTAATTTTAATTTATATAAATATATGATAGTCATGATATGATCGTCATGACTGTAAGGTTCGAATAGTTCAGCTCTTGTCAACTTGAATTTAAAGAAACAAAGATTTCCTGAAGAGACAGGCTGCAGTCCCACATTCAGCCTCCGGGCGCCGCTGTCGGCCAGTGCAGAGCTAGCGCTGTAGCCCGACATCCCTCAGCCTCCAATCTGGGATTTCCTGCACAGCCACAAACAGAAAGAAGGAAAC